CAAAATAAAGTCACTGAGGAGCCATGTTAGCTGGGGCAGGAGCTTCAGCCGGGCTGGGGTGACCTCCCAGAGGGGGCGGCACCTTCAGAAACCGGGCACCACCCCAGTCCCCAAGACCATCCTGCCATCTGCCTGCCTCTTACAAATTCCTCAAAGACACCCCAGTGCCGCCACGGTAGTTATATTGATAAGGAAGCTGGAGCACTGGAAATGAATCAATGGCACCACCAGGATTTCTCGAGTATCAATCTATCGAATTACTGCACCTCCCTTGCACTGGCGTTTGTGGGGTCAATAGCTATCGGTCTCGCTCACCACGGTTAGTGTATCATTGAAGCCCGCGTATATTATCTGTCCCTCAGGGTTATATTTTCTCACTCTACCTATAGAACTCTCAGCTGCTCCTCTTGCCAGCCTGGCGCTCTCCCATTTCCCCCCTCCACCTTTCCTGTTTTTCCTTCCTTTCCCCTCCTCCCACCATCTCTGACTGGCCCATCTTGCTTCTAGGCCTGGAGTCTTCCTAGCTGTGGTCGGGTGATGCATCTGAGAGATGGGAAGACAGTGAGAGGAGAGGAGGCAGCTCTACTGGTCCCCTCCAGCCTCCCAAGTGGTTTTTGGTGACAGATTTGCATTTAGATTAGAGATGTAGACACCCCGTCACACCAAAGCCAGGTCATGGGTCTCAGAGCAGGTGGGGCCCCTCTAAAGGAGACAGTGTAGCAAATGCAGCACTAGGGTAAGCCATGGGATTAGACCAGGCCCTTGGCAGGGGACGTTGCGAAGACCTGCCCACAGCATTGCTGAAAAGTGCCACAGAAAGGCCTGCAGAGGAGTGAGCATCCTTAGCCACACAAGGAACAGGAGGCGGAGGCAGGGGAGGAAGCCAGGGACACAAGAAAGAAAAGTCACTTTGAAACAATTACTAAGTGACATGAGCTCGGCAGAACCAAGGGCACGTTTATCATGGGCATTAATAAGCTTTGGTTTCATTCCGCCTTCAGCAGGCGTCAGAAGTAGTGAGGAGAATGAGGCCCCTCATCCCATTCATCCCACCTGCTCTGTCTGTGCAGAAAAGCAACCTAAACGAAATGTGGAGACACAAGAGAGAGGCAGAGAGTCTGTGGTGTGATTAACAATGGCTGTTGACGGCCTGGTGGGAACACACCAGAGGGAGCTCAGAAAAGTGAATGAAGCGGAGGTTGCTGGTGCCAGCCCCAGTTTTCTGTGACTGCTGGCTCGGTGGGGAAGGGCACGTTTAAAGAATGTCTCCCAACTCCTCGAGGATCAAGGTTTGCTGGTGTAGAATTGCTTTTGATTCCCAGGACACAGGAGGCCGGGCACCATCAGACCAGCCTTCCCGCCAGGAGGTGGGAGACAGGATTGGCAGAGAAAGCATTAAGCTAAAAGTCATCACTGTCAGGAAGTCCTAAGTCTGATCCCAAGAAAGGAGGGTGTTGATTTGTGAGCGTGTTGATTTGTAAGTCTTTTCATGAGAATGGCATGTGGCCACTAATTAAGGCGGCGGAGAAACAGCAGTGAAGAGCACAGGCTACACACAGCTACACCAGCCTCGGTCTTGGCTCCTCTGCTTCAGTAGCTGCCAGTCTTGGTCAAATACCTTGTTTTTTCCTCATCTCAAACAATGGAAATTAAAAGAGGAGCTACCATCATAGTGATATCATCACAGAGCCCAGCTGGTTGTTTACAGCCAATCTGATTGGTTGATGCCTCTTCTGATTGGGTGTTGCCGGAGCCACACCAGTTACTCTCTTGACTCCTGAATATCACTCCTCTCTCTCTTATAAGTTGGTTGTCAGGCTTGAATGAAATTATAAGGGAAATGCTTAGCTCAGTGTCTGGTGAAAATGCCCAATGGCATTCGTTATGGATTGAATCATATCCCACAAAGAAGATTTGCCGACAGTCTAACCCCCAGCACCTCAGAAAGTAACCTTATTTGGAAATAGGGTCATGCAGATGTGATTAGTTACGATGAAGTCATACTGAGTGATGGGTCCCTAATCTAGTATGACTGGTGTCCTTGAAAGAAGATGGCCACGTGATGACACAGAGATACAGGGAAGGGCCATGTGGAAATGAAGGCACAGGTGGGAGTGATGCATCTCTAAGCCCAGGAGGGCCTAGAGCAGCGGTTCTCAACCTGTGGGTCGCAACCCCTTTAGGGGTCGAACAACCCTTTCACAGGGGTCACCTAAGACCATCGGAAAACACATACAGAATTACATATTGTTTTTGTGATTAATCACTATGCTTTAATTATGTTCAATTTGTAACAATGAAATTGGGGGTCACCACAACATGAAGAACTGTATTAAAGGGTCGAGGCATTAGGAAGGTTGAGAACCACTGGCCTAGAGGGTCTTGCGCATCACCAGAAGCCAGGAGACAGGCATGGGACAGACCTTCCCTCAGAGCCCTCAGCAGGAACTAACCCTGATGACATCTTGGCTTTGAACTTCTAGTGCCCAGAACCATCCCTATGTGAGAAAGCTGTGTAGTTTTAAGCTACCCAGTTTGTGGTAATTGGTTATGGCGGCCCTTGAACACAGTATTACACTGGGCACACTCCTCAAATGCATGAACTCAAAAAGTATCCAGGAGAAGACCTAACATTCTTGTTAGTCCACTCTCTCATGTGGTGCTTAAAAGGCCATCTACAGCATTCTCAAGTAGTAGTCTAGCTGCTTGTGCTTGGATACCTCCAGTGACGGGAACTCACTGCCTATCATGATAATCCAGTAGCTCTGACGATTAGAAAAACTGTTCTTTATAAGTAGCCAAAAAATGTTTTCCCATAGATTCCCCTTATTCGGTGGAAACTACCTCCCTTGAATCTTTTGTCATAGAAATGTCAAATCCCTTAGCATTTAACATCCCTTCAAATACTTGCATTCATTGAACAAGCCATGTTAGTTGCTGCTATATTATCTTATCTTACGTTCTAGCACATACCAGAGGTTATCACATGCAATTTCTTTTGTGTATAATGAACCCTATCTTCTCGATCTAAAGAGTAATCTATTAAAATCCAGTTCGATATTACATATCTCCTGGTAGACTACGTTATGCTGTGGGAAACACCAAAAAACAAAACCTGTGCTTCAGAAACCAGAGGATTCCTTCTCTCTCAGGCACTGCCACCTACTGTGGCGCAGCAGGGGCTCTCGGTTGGTTGTAGTAGCTCCGGAACCCAGACTGAGAAAGCAGCCAGCATCTGGAACACTCCCCTGTGGCAGGGATAAAGCTTCGGAGCGTCACCCATCGGCAATAATGCCCCGGCCCAGAGGTGACACTCCGCACTTCCCCTCACAACTCATTGGCCAGTGCTAGTGGCATGGCCTCACCCAACCAGCAGGAGGCCCGAAAATATAGTCCTAGACAATATAGTCCTTCCGTGTGTCTGGAAGCCAGGCCCAGGAACACTGGGCCCACGGCACTGGTGGTCACCCATCCCCTGAGTGGATTTCCTGCTGTTCCACCCTCCTGCTTGTTGGTCAAGGTCATGAGCACATTACACTGTCTTTATCCTACTTGTGTTTCCATCTCCTCCGTGAGACTGAGAGCTGCTCAAGGGCTGGGATTAGGTCATAATAAGCATTTGGTGTGTGGAGGTATTTGTGACCAGTGACCATGCATCCACAGTGAGAGCCAAGGTCCTGACAGTGGTGACCAGGCCATATCTGATCCAGATAGGGCAAGAACCAGACAGTTATTCTGCCTGTCCACAAACCACATCTATGCATTTCACTGAATGCCAGGTACTAGCTAAGTATTATACGGGTACTAACTCGATCATCACTACAATTCCATAAGGAGGGTCCTCTTATGATCCCCAGCTTACAGATGGGGAAACTGAGGCATGAAGAGCTACATGATCTACCACTCACAGGTAGAAAGCAAAGCAAAGGAGTGGGGTATGCACCCAGGCAGTCTGACTCCAGAGCCAGCTCTTAACCTTTAATCTCAAATCTCGACATCTCTGGGCAGAATTTCCTCCATCCTCAGATGGGAATAACCCTAATGCTCCGACATAGGGATGTTCTGAGGGCCAAGTAGGTCAGGTGTGAGGTGCACAGTCCACATTCAGTACATGTTCCATTTGCTGCCTCATCCTTGGACTCAGTTACTCTCCCTTCATCAGCCCTTAGACCTTAATCTTCTTAGTAGCTTTAAAGCCACCTTTAGAACCCAACTTTGTTGGGCCTCTTTTCTCCTCTATGTGGGGAATAAAAAAGCAATATAATTTCCCTAAACCTGATTTGCATGACAGTAAATATATTGTTCTGTGTGGTTCTTTGTGACTGGGTAACCAGCAGAGGAGCTAATTTATTAGTTTAGCAATTTAAGCAGGACCTCGGAAGAATGGAGCCCTGATCACGGAGCGCTGGGACTGTGCTAATGAGAAGATTAGAGGCGTGTGCAGCCCGCACGGTCCCAGATAATCACGCGTGTACCCAAGGATTATTAACAGCCACAATTACCAGGAACTATATTATCTGCCTGGCTGGTTATTCTCAAGTCAACTTATATTGAAGAAATGAGCTTGGAAGAGTTAATAAGTTATTTTGAAGAGGCTGGTGGGTGTCCTTCATAATAACTATCTGTGGAAATGCAAAGGTGCGCCTGAGGCTCCACGGTACCTTCATCCTAATTCTCACCCAGGAGTGGAAAGAAGCACTGGATTTTCTTTGGAGAAAGAGACTCTCCACAGAGCCCGGGCCCCTGCCTCGCAGGCCCTCTTTGCTGGAACCACTTGCCAGCATGGCGGCTGGTCTCCTGTGTTGCAGATAATCTTTGGAAGCAGCATCCATTTCAGGGGACAAGGCTCTGGGCTTTATGACCCTGGTAGTTCCCGTCCCTTCCCAGCCTCCCTCCCCTTGAAAGTCTTCGGCCGCCTGTCCTTGGGCTTTGAAGGACTCTGTACAGTATGGCACCCAGCGCAGGTCTCAGAGGTAACTTCAGTCCTGTTTCTCTTGCAGATTCTGACAACTCCATGCTGTGAGCTGTGGGCTGGTCTTGAACCCAGAGCTCTGCACGGAGGATGGGGGCCGACAGGGAAACTGTGGTCCTGAAGAACATGCTCCTTGGCGTCAACCTGATTCTTCTGGGCTTGATGCTCAAGCCCACAGAGTGTCAGCTAGAGGTTCCCATGGAGAGGGGCCAGAGACCGGCGGTGGAGGAGGAGGGAGGCATTGCCAGCTACAACACATCCGACAAAGAGCCGCCCATGGTCTTCAACCACGTGTACAACATCAATGTGCCCCTGGACAGCCTCTGCTCCTCGGGGCTGGAGGCCTCGGCCGAGCAGGAGGTGAGTGCGGAAGACGAGGCACCGGCCGAGTATCTGGGCCAGACCTCCGACCCAGAGAGCCAGGTCACCGTCACCCACAGGATCAACCTCCCCAGAAAGGCCTGCCCGTGTGCCGCCGGCTCGGCCCAGGTGCTGCGGGAGCTGCTGAGCCGCATCGAGATGCTGGAGAGGGAGGTGTCGGTGCTTCGGGACCAGTGCGGCAGCAGCTGCTGCCAAGAAAGTGCAGCCACAGGTAGGGCTGGGCCCCTACAGGGGCTTCGGGTGGGAAGAGGAGGGGAATCGGCCCCTCTTCATGCGGAAGGAAATGAGCCCCAGTCTGTAGCTCTGTGATAAAGCATCTATGAGATCTGCACACAGTCCTCCCGGAGGACTGGCACCCGCATCCTCCACACCCACACACTCGCCTAGCCCGTGTGAAAGACATTACTTGCTTCTGGGGGGATGAGTCAGGGAATGGCACATCCGTTCAGCACAGCAGTGATCAGGGAGTTTGATGTCTGTCTTCATTCATCTTGGGTTTTTACAGGCTGTTGAATTGATATCTCTCCGTGTTAACCTGAGGGACTAGAGAATACAGGCGCATGTTCACTCAGTCGCAGCCTTTCTCCCATCTGAGTAAATGATAGTCATCAAGGTCTCCCAGGACCCATCCCCATCTTCTCCAGCAAGATGGAAGTTTTGGCCCCTGCCCCCTCCACCGGCACGCACGTGTGCACACACCTGCTCACACACACACACACATGCACACACACGCATATTGCTTATTCTACACCCCTTCCAAAGGCTGAATGTCCAGGAGAGGTAACTTCAGCCTCACTCACTCCCTGCAAGTAACACTTAGGAGTTACTGTCTGTGCCTCTCTGATAGGTCATTAGGTTTTCAGAGTCTGACTCCCTGAGTTCAGATCTGGACTCTGTTATTTACTAGCTTAATCCTTAAGCAAGTCCCATGACCTGTGCCTTTCATTCCCTGTTGGCAAATGGGGATAGAGCAGAACGGCAAGGAGCATTAAGATACAAGCATTCGTTCAGGTGAAAGCCTGGCTCCTCATGAGCCCACAGGAGCATGAGCTATTGCCCGCTAACCTGCCTGAGCAGCAGCTGTTTGCCGCCTTGTGTGCACATCTCCTCTCACCCAAAGGCCCCGTAGAGTCCTGCCATCCTGCCCTTCATCCTTTGGTGAGAGCAGGAATCTGTCGCACTAGCTTGGGTTCCAGCTTTCACATCTCATATCTCCAGGCTCTGGCAGGGATGAAGGCAGAAGTGGCCTGTATGGCCCACATGTCTTGAGCCACACGGACGTGAGTGTGGGCAGTCTTTGAGTAGTGAGGTGCCATGGTTTTCTCACCTCCTCCTCTCCCCAACCAAAACCGTAAATAAAACAGTCTGAAGAAGAGAAGAAAGTCCAGTTGCCCAGGCTCCCATCCCTCAGTGAGAACTGTCAGGTCGGTTATCCATGGAGCCAGGACACGGGGAAATCATAGGTGTCCGTGAACATGGGCTCTTTGCTGCCCGGGACACTAGGCGGCTTTCTGAGTGGCTTTTCCCCCACCTCCCACCAGGCTCCCTGGCAGAAGTGGGGAAATCTACAAGCGAGCCTGTGTTCAGCAATGTCAGTGTGCTATCCGTTCAGGCTGCGAGGGTGACTGAAGTGCCAGGATTAAACAGGATATAACTTACTGCACTTCAGATCCCCAAGGCCAAGTACAGAGAAGGATGCCACGCCGGTGCTGGGCTTGTGTTTGTTTAATAAGTTTGTGTGATTCATGTTAGCCAGATAGATTAGCCACTGTGCTTCTAGCGTGGTAAGGGCTAGGACAGAGATGCGCACAGAATCCTAAAAGGATCATAGCAAACAGTGACTGCAGGAGACTGAGGTTGAGGGAGGCCTTTGAACTGACCTTGGAGCCAAGGGCTGATGCATGAGCAGAGTGAGTGTGAGGGCAGGAAGCAGAGGGAGTAGGGCAAGTCCGTGGCACATACGATCTTGCCCTGCATAGCAAGCCCAGTGCTCAGCCTACATGCCCTGGGAACCCCTTCAGTCCCCGGAGCACCTGGGCATCTTTGTCAGGGGCTGTCCTTGGGCTGTGGGACCCTCCTTGGCTTGCCCAGAGAGAGAATGGAGGAGCCTGAGCCTTTACACCCCCAGGGACAGCCCTTAACCCATGATGAGGGGTAACCTGCACTGTGACCTGAGCATCCTGCAAGACTAACCCCCAGTTACCTTCCCTGGACTTGGCCCACAATGTACCTGGCTGGGGCTCCTTCCCTCCCCAAACTTCCCCTTTCCCCAACCAGATTTTTGGGGACCACTTTGTAATAAGTCACTTTCACTTGAATCTTCATCTAAGGCCTCTTCCTGGGGAATGGAAGCTGAGACACCTCAAAACTGAGCTCCTGATGTACAGGGACCAGATCTCACTCATTTTTATCCCAGCGCCATGCTAGGCACAGACAACCCACTGGGAAATATATTTATGAAATTGATTATATGGGTTGAAATGAACTCTCAGTGACATACATTGATCAGAGAGGGAAAAGAGGTCTCTGCCCACCCCGCCCCAGGCACCATTTTCAGGGGGTGCCACTGCCCCCCTTTGACCTTCTCCTTGACCTTTCCAGGACAACTGGACTACCTCCCTCACTGCAGTGGCCACGGCAACTTCAGCCTCGAGTCCTGCGGCTGCATCTGCAATGAAGGTTGGTTTGGCAAGAACTGCTCAGAGCCCTCCTGCCCCCTGGGCTGCTCCAGTCGGGGCGTGTGTGTGGATGGCCAGTGCATTTGTGACAGCGAATACAGTGGCGAGGACTGCTCCGAACTCCGGTGCCGCACCGACTGCAGCTCCCGGGGGCTCTGTGTGGACGGGGAGTGTGTCTGTGAGGAGCCCTATACTGGCGAGGACTGCAGCGAGCTGAGGTGCCCCGGGGACTGCTCCGGGAAGGGGAGCTGTGCCAATGGGACCTGTGTGTGCCAGGAGGGCTATGTGGGCGAGGACTGTGGCCAGCGGCACTGTCTGAATGCCTGCAGCGGGCGAGGACACTGCCAGGAGGGATTCTGCTTCTGCGAAGAGGGCTACCAGGGCCCCGACTGCTCGGCAGGTAGGAAGGGGCACTCCTGGGCATTGGCATGGGTGGCCCAGCAGACTCACTGGAGAGGGGAAGAGAGATGGGAAGGAAGGTGGATTTTAGGCAAAATAATTCCCCATTGGGTTGTGCTCGCTTGCTTTCCAAGGGAGCTGGTTTCTTCGTCAATCACAGTGGATGGAGCAGACTTAAAGGGGGGGAAGGGGAAACCTGAAAAGGGCAGGTTCATGCTGAAAGTTGGATCTTATGCTCAGACTGAACAAAGGCAACAGCAACAGTGACAGCTTCCCACTGTCCGTGAGTAGAGGGAAGGGGAGAGATGGGCCAGGGGACCACCTTGGGCAAGGCCGCTCTGACTCAGAGGGCGTCCAGAATATCCCCCTTGCTCGCCACCATGTCCCAGGACAAGTCTCAACCACCACTTGAGATGGGGGTTAGCCTGTGATTTTGGAGCCTATATTACTCAGTGTTAGTTTATGAAATGGTCTAGTGTCCACATGGAAAAAGAAGTGTTTGTAGGTAAGGAATGAAATGCAAACAGGAATAAAGCAGCCAAGGCATCAAGCAGCAGCTCACATTCTGACAATCAGTGCAGAATGTTAGAAGGCCGTGACTCACGCTGTTCCAGATGACATGCAGCAAATTGGAACCAAGCCCATCTGGGGTCTACAGCACGGACACCGTACAGAGGTGTCCTAAAACCAGGAAGGAAATCCTGCGTTGGGAAGAATACCAGCATCTCACTGGAGATGACTTTTTGCCTAAAATCAGATTATTTTTATCATCTCACTATTATTGCTCATCTGCTGACTAAATGTGTGTGTCTAAATAACACAGATGAAGGGATTGACCTTGATCCATTTCGTCTGCACTTCAATTTGTAACAGTGGGCTGGAGTGCCCATGAGGGGGATTTAAAATGCAATTTAAAAAAATAACAAACAAACATTTTTAACCCTCCTGAAGGGGTGATTCTGGGAATTTTCCGATCAGCCCTCTGATGTCAGTTTACGGGAGGAATGCTGGAAGCCTTTACTTCTTCAGCATCCTCAGTGACTCCCCTGAGAGAGCAGGCCAGCCACACCAGGCTCCTGCACTGTGACTTCAACTTAAATTCTATCGAAGTTCATTGGCAATAACAACAACAACAACAAAAAACAAACCAAAAAAAAAAGAACTCCCACGAGTGAGCAAATAATAATGTACTGCTAGGAAAAAATATTTTCATGTTCCTTCACTTTTTTCCATATTCAATAATTTCATTTAGCTTCCTGGTTTATTTTCTGAATTGAAATATCTTTTTAAAAGTATACTTAGTTCTACCAACTGTTATGAAAGAAAATTGAAGCAGAAGTGAAGCCTCGCTGTTTCTAGATCTGAAATCACTAGGTGGTTGCTGGGGAAGGGAGGCTGACACGTGGTCCCGATTCCCACCCACAGGGTGCGGCTCCCTGGGCCCCATCTGAGGATGTGAAAGAGCAGCTGGGGCCACTGCTCCGTATGGCTACCCTCTAGTCCACGTGATTCTGAATGGAATGGCTCTGTGTTGGACTGTACATACCTGTCATGTTCTACAGGGACAGGTCCCCTTGCAGACAGAATCTTAAATCTGATCCAGGGTCCAAACCGAACTGGAGCCCTCCCGGCCATTCAGTAAGGCGCCACAGCTGTTAGTATAGCTCCTGCTCAACTGGGTGGAGTCCAAACCCTGAGCCCATGTGACCTCCAACATGTCCCCTCTGGCTGTTGGAGGATCATTTCTGAAGGCCCAGATAAATTACTTCACAGGTTCCCAAAGCATGTGAGGAGGGACAGTTACATCATCTCCATCTGTTTCTATAGCAACCCGAGCCATCACTCGCTGTAGGTGGGACTGCTCTCGATGCCTTTTAAACCAAATGCCCGGGTCTCTGCCAGAGACCATGAAGGGCATTGTCTAAAGTGCTGCTTTGCTGGCTCATGCGGGAGAGGGGGTAGTTATCCTCTGTTGGTCATCTCTGGCCAGGCACACACACTACAGCGTCACTGCCGCCTGCGCTCACAGGCACGAGGAGGTGAAAACATGGAGAACCACAAAACCGACGTCCTCACAGGCCACTCTTCCCACTCTGCCAGGGTGCAGGAAGCCCGCCTGCCTGCTGTGTGGGTTTCATTCTGAGGCCCCGAGCTGCTAGAGGCTGGATGCAATTGAGAGTTGGCGAGGACACCATACTGGACTCCCAGCCTTGGTCTTTGCTCGTAGTGGGCCATGGCGCGAAATCACAACCATCCTGCCTGTTCTCTGGCCACGTGAAACTATGGCACAGTAAACTCATGAATAGGAGCACTTAAAACAGGCCTCAGAAAGAAGCTGCTCTGGGCTCCTCATTCCCCAGATGTAAAAAGCAGCAGTTCAGAGAGACAGATTCTTGCAGGGCCAGACAGCTAACGGATGGCAGGGCGAGAATGAGAACCCTGGTCACCGACCACCTTCTAGCACTCTTTAATCCTCTCCGGAATGCCGAGTAGAGAGGAACTGAAAAATAAAAATGTGAAAAGCCACATACACCAAGAAATAGTCTCTTGATGTGAAAGCCAAGCTCTGTCAAATGATAAAAAGAAATCAGATGTTGGAACCAACTGTTCACACCTCCCCCAGTGCAGCAGGTTAATGCGGGAGCTGGCCAATGCGTGAAAGAACAGGATGAAAGAACCAGCAGAGCAGGGTCCCCGGACTTCCTCCGTCAGACCCATGGGGATTCATCAACGTCAGCCTCTGCCTCTGCTTCTGCCTGCACCCCAGCCAGCCCTGCCTTTGGCACCTGAAATCACTCGTTCGTTGGAGCAAAACACTTCACGCAACTAATCTAGGTGCAACACTGATGCAAATCTACAAGGGAAACAGCATGGCATCTTTGCAGATAGGCAACTCCATGCCTCAAACCAGTCTTTTTCCATTTTTTTGTTGTTAATCCTCACCCAGGGATATTTTCCCATTGATATTTAGAGAGAGAGTAGAAGGAAGGGGGAGAGACACAGAATGGAACCCTGGGCCCTTAAGTCCACGGGTTGACGCTCTATCTACTGAGCCAAACCAGTTGGGCCCAATCTATTCCCTTTTAATCACCCTCTCTTCCCCAGGTTTCAAGGTTGGAACCCCAAAAAGTAAGACACTGCTTTGCACCCTAAATTCACAGCATCAAGGCACATGGTTCCTTTATAGTTTGCTTTAAGTTCAGTACTATTTCATTTCATAGGAATTACTGACCCCCAGTGCACACAGCTCCTGCCAGTTTCAAGGCAAGTGGGGACCATCTCATCAGAAGGAGAAGCAGTGCCTACCACCAGCCTCGTGTCCCACGATAAAACCTTGCCAGGTGAAGTTATCAAGATAAAAAAACCTTCCACACCTCATTTTTACTTTAAAATCCCCAAATGCTCGTCTGGGATCATCCTCTGTTGGCATCCTCTGTAGCTTTCTTTTCGGGAAGAAGGAACCAAAAAGGAATACTGACTTGTCCCAAATGCCCCAAGAGCTGCTGGTGATGGGAAATTTGGAAGGGCCATTCCTGTCACTGTGGGAGGGGATGTCCCACAGAGGAAGCCTGGAATCGGTGTGACTCACGGGCTGCAGGCACTAGAGACCCATTTTTAAAAGAAGTTGCTACGATAAGCAGTCTGGAATTCACCCGCTAAAGGACAGTCTGAATTATTCTCCAACCTGGTTTTCCGTTGGAGGGCTGTGTATACATGAAAAGACATCCGACACCACCATGACCCGGTCTACAAACTGGCAGGGAAGGAACACTCAGTGTAGACAACCTGGATTTGAGAGTCAATTCTTCTGTAACCCACTTCCTGGGCTTTTGGCAAGTCCCTTAACCTGGGCCTTAGTTTCTGCATCTATAAGGCTGGGATCATTATAGCTACACGATCTGCTTCACTTGGGCTGCTATGGACAGATTTTTTAAAATTCTAATTAGAATGTGTGTCTGAACATGTTTTATAGAGTCAGAAAGGTTTCTTTAAACCAGCGGTCGCCAACCTTTCGGACCTCACGGACCACTAGTGGTCCGCAGACCACCAGTTGGCAAGCGCTGTGATAGACTGTGAAATGCTATGCCGCCTCAAAGGGGTGTTGTTTACTGGGTGAGAGCTTAGACCCATTCTGTCTGGTTCAAACCATAGCTCCTGTGTCTGCTGACAGTTTCGTTTCTCATCTATAAAATAGGGGTAATAATGATACATGTCCCACAGTGTTGGTGAGAGGATTTAGCGTCGATCTTGATGCATAATAAATGCTTACTATAGTCACGCAAACTACCCAGAGGTTCTATAGATCAATTCTTTCATTCCCCCTTGGCCCAGGCGTTATTCTGAGGCACTATACACAATGTTCTTAGTGCAGTTTAAACTTCATTAATGTCAGAATTAGAAATGATATGAGCTTATTATCAATTATCATTTGAAAGTCTATTTAAATTTCATTTACATTTAGTTTTATACATTTAAAGAATAAATTTTTAATGTTTGGTTTTGGTCAACATTTGCCATCTTCAGTCAGAGGAAGCTCTGTTGCTTAGACTGTTTCACACAATGAACAGTTTGGGGCAAAAGCAATCAAAGCAGATACTCAACATTGCAAATATGTGGTCCTAATGTCCATCCTAAGAGTCTGGGCGCCTCTTGTCTGCCACTACTGAGAATTTGAGGGTGCACATGTGAGCACAACGGGGGGGAGTGGGGGCAGCCACATTCCACACACAAATCCTGTGTACAATAGCCGGCTCAGTCCTACACTCTTATACAGTAAAAAAGAAAAAATGAGAATTCTTGGAGGAGAAATTCAAAACCAATGGCAACTTTTAAACTAACCGAAGCTTCCATTACATATAAACTTATACGTTAATTATGACTATTTAAATATTGGCCCGATCTTTGATTTCATCTATGAGCACCAACTGCAGGCACACTAGAATTAGCCTCCTAATTGGTCTTAAAGGTTCAATTATTTAATACCACATTCCTGGTGAATCTCTATTTCCTAAGAGAACCATACGTGAAAGGCTATTTCTAGGAGGTTTAATCTTTGGTGATTCTTTGAACAAGAGAGAAAAGCAAAGCCCTCAAGAATGCTTCTTTATCATTATCCCCGAGATCAAGGCTAATAAAAATTAGCTTACGTTACATTTCTTTCAAAACTTAAAGTATCTTTTTAGGAGAGAAATGATACAATGAAGCATTATTGTATGTCTTTAACTGTCCATGGTACCCAGGACTTACTGTTTGGGCTTCTTATTGTCTACAAAATAACCAGGAGTAAGCCTTTATTTCCACTTGCAAAATCAAATATTGTCTTCTAGGGTAATTTGGTGACAACTTATTAAATTATCAAAAATTTTGGCCACTGGTATGCTGTTAAGTATCTAATAACTGAAGAAAAAAATGAAAGTTCTTGCTTTATAGCATTTGCCAATTTCCATGGTGTAAATACTCCCTCTGTGGCCAATTTCAAACTACCAACATGACATCACTACACATGGAGTTGGCAATAGCTGTGCAGTAGAATACAATTATATAGCATTGCCACCAGAGAGACACAACACATGTACATTACCTCAAGGGCATAGAAAATAGTAAAATGTAGCAAAATAATTTGAAACTGATGAATTTTGAGTGTTTATTACCTTTGTAATATAATTTACTTAATTCTGAGTTTATATTTAATCATTCACAATGGCTCTATTTAACAACTGTCTTGCAAAATTCGGGAGAATTTGACCATCAACTTTCAGGAGTCAGTAGGAGCTGATTCCAGCACACCACTGACTCAGGGCCCCATGGAGGTGGGAAAACTAAGCACAGAAAGTCAAGAACCTGTGCACAAAGGGCATTAGAAATCACCGAGCCATTGAGCTGAGCAGAACATTGAAAAAGGGCACCTGGGGTGAGATGTGAGGGAGAAAGGTGAGTCGAGGATGGAGAAGGCAGTCCTCTGAGCTCATGCTATCTGTGTATTGCCTCCCGGTAGCTGCCCCTCCAGAGGACTTGCGAGTGGCTGGTATCAGCGACAGGTCCATTGAGCTGGAATGGGACGGGCCGATGGCAGTGACGGAATATGTGATCTCTTACCAGCCGACGGCCCTGGGGGGCCTCCAGCTCCAGCAGCGGGTGCCTGGAGATTGGCGTGGTGTCACCATCACAGAGCTGGAGCCAGGTCTCACCTACAACATCAGCGTCTATGCTGTCATTAGCAACATCCTCAGCCTTCCCATCACTGCCAAGGTGGCCACCCGTACGTACCATTTCCCGTCCTGCTTCATTTTTCTTTTCTCCTCCATGAGATCATGGGCATTCATGATATTACGCAGTGTCTTTTCTTAATTCTTCAGGGATGCCTGCAATAGTCATTGCGCTTGAGGGGACAGTCTTCCGACATGACCCCCTTGGGAAAGGGTATGCCGATACAAAGGCACTTCGATGAACAGGGTTTCCAAACTCAGGCAGCTTCCATCAATTACAGAAACAAAGGACAAAAAGTACTTTATTGAGCTCTTTCTTGTTCTAAGCTAGATCTGAATAGAGGTCAAGGGAAGTTATGAGAATTCTACAGACTTTGATTCTAGTTAGAGATTAAAACCAGGAGATCTGAAATGGGACGTATGATAAGCGTGTGCTAAAGGTGTGTTACAGATGGTAAGTGTATAGTAGAGTGGGAAAATATCTTATTTAAGATCACAACTGACAACACCCACTTCTCATGGAGAGGTGGCATAATTTCCTGGTGGTCTTTTGTTTAACAAAATATCTTGATAGCCCATTTTGATTATAAAAGTTGAGGTTCTAGAACAGGGGTCGGGAACGTCCAACCCAAGGACTGTATAAGGCCTGCAGAATCATTTGGGGTGAGTTAATTAAACATTTGACTAAATGCAGCAGGCTAATTTTTAAGTTGATAATTTTGTATGGCCTGCAAATGATGTAATAAATACCCAAATGGCCCTTGGCAAAAAAAGTTCCCCACCCCTACTCTAGAACATAGTTTAGAAAATTTCAATGGGGAGAAAAGAGTGAGAGAGAGCAAGTAAACTGCTCTCGTTAAGAAATGGGCATTTCCCTTTTTCATTTATAACAAGGGAAAACTCCTATAGGTGTGTCTCTATATTTTGTATGTTTATTTAAGCACAAATTTTAGAAGATTGCATACCAACTATTAACATTGACTATATTAAGGAGGAGACTGGGAAGGAGTTAGGAAGTCACTGTTATTTTTTTCTCTTTATTCACCTCAGACTTCTTAAGTCATTTCCAATGCCACTTCCTGACTCTCAGACACAAGCTCAATTCTGACACTACCTGGAGTTAGTGTCAGATCCCACAGGTTTAGGCTCAGTCTCAGGGGATGGCCCCCACCTCAGGTCCCAGCTTGTCACCAGTACTTCTGACCCCCTGGCTATAAACTCAGGGGGTCCCCACAGCCTCTCCTTAGATTTGATAATTAATGATGACAACTCACAGAACTCAGGAAAGTGCTTTACTTACCAACTTATTATAAAGGACACAACTCAGGAGCAGCCAGATGAAGTGATGTGTAAGGCAAGGTATGTAGGGGATGGCCGTGGAGCTTCCATGTCCCCTCGAGTACTCAGCCTCTCAGTACCTCCATATGTGTACCCCCAGGAAGCTCTCTGAGCCCCCCATGTTTGGGGTTTCTTATGGAGAGTTGATTATGGAGGCACAATTGATTAAGGCATGGAGGTTGGGAGTGGGGCTGAAGGTTCCAACCCTCCCATCATGCCTTGGTTTCTCCAGAGACGGGCTATCTGGGGGCCCAGCCGCCAATTATCTCATAATCACACAAAAGATCTTATTAGTCCAGAGATTCCAAGTGTTTTAGGAGCAGTGTGCTAGGAACCAGCGACAAAGACCAAATATTTACTTTTAATTTTTATTGTGAAAACTATTACATATGTCCCCTTTTCTCTCCATTGACCTCTTCCAGCCTGCCCCCGCCCCCAACCCTAGGCCCTCACCACCCCATTGTCTGTGTCCATGGGTTATGCATATACGCATGCAAGTTTGTTGGTTGATCTCTTCTCACCCACCCACCCTTCCCCGCCTGCCCGCTGAGGTTCCACAGTCTATTCTATGCTTCTATGTCTCTCGGTCTATTTTTGTTCATGATGTCACAGAGATTTTAGCAGTAGCGCAGAACCAGAACAAGGGGTGACCATGAACCATAAGCTCTTGGGTCGTAAATGAAACTTATCACCAAATATGAACTAAGAGATTGGGGCCCATTTTATGTTCATCTCAAATGACAAGATGGTACTTGGGTAATAGAAAGTTCAGAAAATGGGGAGGTCAAAGGAGAAAGAGTTGGCTTGGAGGCTTCCTGGAGTTCTCAGGATGTGGACTGAGCTTTGAAGGATGCAAGGATAGAGACAGACAGAGGGGACAGACAGGATTTAAGAAATCCTCTTGTCCCTTGCTTTTCAGTTGATAAATATCCTATTATCATATTGGACTCTTCTTGTGAGTAATGACTGTTAATGTGCCTATAATTAGCTCTGTTTCTCTGTTTATATCTGACCTTTTTCCCCCCAATTCCTCTGGTGCCTGAGAACTAGTCTTAAATATCCGCAGTGATGGTGCAGAGGCAGGTCCCCATCTGCCCTGTCCCCACCTTGCTCCGAGATGAGTCACCACAGCGAGCGCCTGGCCCAAGTCCCACGCACTTGCCTCTGGTCCTTGTGCGCATGCAGTGATGAGCTTTCCACCTCCTGTGGCGTTTCTTATGCCAAGTCAGGGCATCCCCTCAGGCAAGCTCCCAGGTGACAAGGACAAAATCATGTTGAGGCACCTGACGTGCCTTCGAGTGGGCTCAGAATCAGCCCTGCCTCTTAACCAAGAGACATGAGGGAGCTTCCGCCCAGGAAGGAGGAGAATATCCCGGGAGGGGCAAAGCTGAAAGGGAAGCAGGCTCCCCGCAGAACTGAGAAAAGGCACGCGGGCATGTTCCAGGGCTGGTGATGGGAACTGCACCAGGGCGAGCATGCTGCCACCTCACTGACCTGTCCATGTGTGTGTCCGTGTGTGTGTGTGTGCGTGCATAGGAAAAGGAGAGAAAGAGAAGAAGAAAATAACAAGGTAAGGGAGGCCACAGTGATGAGGCAGAGAAGAGAGAAATGATAAAGGAACCACTGGAGAAAAGGAGGAGATAGTCAAATAAGAGCAAAAACCCCAGAATCTGCTCTTCTCCCTTGTGTGTGACTTTGCTTTGATTGTGGACATGAAATGGATAGTTCAGGCCTTCCTACACTTGGTTATTTGAGCTAACAAATATTCTTCCTGCCCATAAGAGGGTCAGGAAAAGCATCCTTGTCTTCATTCTGCAGTGGGTATGGTCCACACCTCTAGTCACCTCACTGTGCCTCCCTCTTCCTGGGTGTGAAGTGGGAACACTCAGCCATTCTGTTGCCTCTCTGGATTCCTTAAAGCCACCAAAGGTAGCGTTCGGGTTCTCCAAAAAGGGCTTTATGTTTAATGCCAAGATTTACCACGTTAGTAAGGGAAGGAAAGTGTGACTTTTGTACTTCAATAACATATTATGACTAGAAAGCATAAACAAGTATTTATTAGATTGGGTTTGTTACGTTTTCATGTATTCCAAGACTTGGCACCAGCCCACCCCTGCACCTGGGACCCACCGTGTGTGTGTGTGTGTGTGTGTGTGTGTGTGTGTGTGTGTGTGTGTGTGTTTGTGTGTGTGTGAGAGAGAGAGAGAGATAAGATTGGCATGGGAGGAGCACACCCAGCCAGAGCCCCCGGAGATGCTCTCTGTCCCTGCCCAGGACCCTATGACATAGTCCCCACATTGCTGTGTTCCAGATCTCTCCACTCCTCAAGGGCTGCAGTTCAAGACCATCACAGAGACCACCGTGGAGGTGCAGTGGGAGCCCTTCTCCTTCTCCTTCGACGGGTGGGAGATCAGCTTTATTCCAAAGGTAACCCCACCTGTCAGCCCGCTACATGGCCTTCTGTAGAGTGTCCACACCCTCCACGTGGGATCTGGGACAGCAAGGAAGGCACTGGCCCATAGCTCTCTATACCACTGAGGACACAAAGGGATGTTCTGTGGGTGTCTGGGCTGTACGTGTGGTGAGGGACCCTGAGCCCAGCATGCTGGCTTGAGGTGACAGAGGATGGATGTGGGAAGTAGCCACCAGCCCCGCTCTCTGCTCAGAAAGCTCTGGGGTTTCGTGGACTGTGATTAGTGAGCCTGAACACCACACCTTCTGAGACCTGGGGCTTCTCTCTAGGACATAAAAAAGCCACCTGAGCCAGTCACGTGGTCAGCCCCGCTTTATCCTGTGCACACAGATGCACCAGAGTCCGCTTGCAAGGCTTCCATCTCTCACGGCTAGAGTTGCAACCCAAAAACACCTTTCGTTACCTATTAATTGAGCAAAATTTCCCTTAAACAAGTTACATCATTCATCTTTGAGTTAAAAGTATCCCAAGATGCGTTTCTGTTCAGTAAAGTCATATTTTATTTTCCTAATCCTAAAACGAACATTTCCACGTTGCCAGCGGTACCTGACTAGTTGTGGTTTTCCAGAGTTTGTTGACCCCACTGATGTTCTTCCTACTGTATCACTCATAGGGGTATAATGTTTAATCAGACTCCTTCCCTCTGGCTTCATCTTTCAATATCAAAGAGCATTTTTTCTGTCATTCATCAGACTTAATGATACATGACACATTGTTGGCTAATAAGACTGTGATTTCACCATTCTTAGAGGCATGAGCTGTTGGAGCTACAAAAGACCTTCAAGTTTACAGAGTAGACCCCTCATTTTACATCCAGTTCCCATAGTTTATAGAGACAGAAACTCTGTGAACTTAAACTTACACAGCTAGTTGGTGGCAGGCTTAATCCAGGAGCCCAAGTGTCCACTAATCCAAGAGGCCCCCCTCTGCCATGTGGATGTAGTCATGTCATAGCAACCTAAATACATCTAAACAGACATTCTGTACAAATACTTTATTATATGTCTTATTTGTGTTCAAATGACCAGTAAAGTTTGACAGGCAGATGAGTTTATAATGCAGAGAAAATCATGCCACCCTACTGCTCAGGCAAGAAAAAAACTGTGCCAGCCTTGCCTGTTTTACATACAACATGTGACAAATAAGAGGGGCTGGCTAGGGCATGCCAAGGTCAAACACATTGCCACAGAGAATAATTGTGTGATCTGTGGGTCGGGGCCACTGAGCGGTATGTGTCACACTGATTTCCATGCGTTTGGCTCTGAAGAACATACAGGGCACTCTGGGTAGCATGAAAAGAGACCAAAGAATAGAGGAGAGGAGCAGTGCCACAGAACAGTCCTCTTGTCCCCTCAATTTCCAGGGACACACATAGAAAATTGTTAATAGACAGACAGGTAGGTAGGTAGATACTCAATCTGGGACCCAATGTCATCATGTTGATCTTTCTCATTTTCCCTTCTACCATTTTTCTCCTTCCTCTCTCCTTTGTATTATTCTTTGTTCCACACTTCCTTTTTCTCTTCTCTGTACTTATAGTTGGTTGTGTCACTGACTCCTAACACATCTGGGTGAAGAGGAAACAAGACATTGACAAATTTGCACCCTGAGTAACACTATGAGAAACTCCAGACACAGCAAAATACAGCTCTGCCTCATTAAAAAAAAATCTGCAAACATCTTAGTTTGGAAAGTGTGTGTGTGTGTACACAGAGCTGTTTACACTCATACGCAACTCTTATATGTAGCCAAGAACATGTTCATCAAGATGAATGCAAACTGTAACCATCAACCTTCTCATCTTTGGCAAAAGCTAAGCTACATCACCTCATGACTAATTTGTATTGGCAAATTCAATAGACTCAGGAAAGGCCAAAGAAATGTTCTTGAAAATTGGTTTTCTCCGTTTGCCAAAGCCTCCTATAAGGGTGGCCTTCTCCCTGAGCCTGGTGAGACTCATCCCTGGCCCCAGACACTCCGCTGTCCTCATGGAGGGGAGAGGAGGAGTCCCCATTTTTAAATCACAATTCACAACCAGTGGAACACATTTCTTTCCCAGTGACTTTTGTTTTCTCTGCATCTCCCTTCCCCCACCCAGAACAATGAAGGAGGGGTCATTGCCCAGCTCCCCAGCGATGTCACATCCTTCAACCAGACTGGACTAAAGCCTGGGGAGGAGTACCTTGTCAACGTGGTGGCCCTGAAGGAGCAAGCCCGGAGCCTCCCCATCTCGGCCAGCGTGGCCACCGGTGAGTGCCTCCTGCCTGTATCCCGAGGCTGCCCCTGGGTCACTCACAAGGAGGAACTACAGACTTGTCGGAGATGTAGAGACAAAGGGGGCGAGGACATCTCCCAGAGCTGAGAACAGCATTGGCACCTGCAGATGGACCTCTGCCAGATGCTAAGCAGAACCTCTTCCTTATTGCTTCTTGCAAGCATAGGAATTTGGGAGGGTATTCTGTGGGGGAAATTCTATGTTAAGATGTCCAGTGTGTTTCTCCCAGCCTTACTCATCAAGAGGTCTCATTTGTCAGCTCCTAGTATCTTGAGTTTTGGAACCTACATGAGATTTAGAGAAAGTCATCCAACCCTTCTTAATTCACTTTACAATGACGAATAATAAGAACTCTGTCATTGACTTGGCATGAGGATTAAATCAGATAATGCATGGAAAGTAATCAGCACTGTGTTGATGAGAGTGAGTGCTCAATACCTGGTATATACACATGTGCTCAGAGAACACACTTAGACATGCGAGTGTAGGGAAGCATCATTAAAGACCAGGAGTATAGGCTGGGTCACTGTTCAAGGTGAACTTAAGTTTATTATTTCCTCCGCACAGCTCCTCTCATGCAAGATCTTTATTTCTAGGTTTGATTCACTCACTGCATCGTGTTTTGCCTTATCATTTCCTTGGCTAACAAAGGCTGTAAATTAGCAATTATAATGCATACGTGTGTGCCCTCACCAAGAATTTTTCAAAAGTTATAAATAGCATCTGGTATCATGTTTGTTCTGATTTTAGGGATGGGAGGAATTGAGACTGGAAGGTTAAGCAACTTCCCCTGTGAGTAAATGAGATAGGCGAATATTGGTACAGCTTTATTTTTCATAAACAGAAATTGACACTGAAGAAAGCCAGTCAGGGCAAAGGCCGAGTTGGCCAGGATAGGGAGCCACAAGGCTATGTAATGAGACACATTGCGTTAGTGATTCATGCTTTGCTCATTGGATACACACTGAGCAGTACCAGGTGCCGAGGCTTGTGCTCGATAGAGAAAACACTGGTTTAAAACTGTTGTGGATTAGGTTATGTTCCATCAGAGCACTGGGGTTCCATGGCAGCATCCCGAGGCCAGGACAAGGGGACATCCAGGCCTCTGACCACTCTCTCCAGGCGCGCCACACCCGCCAACCACGGTAGCTTCACTGTCATCTCTTGTACATTCTGTACAGTCATTTAAGAGTTTGTGCTTTAATTCCTCCTTCCAAAAAGAGGCTTTTAAACCAGAGTTCTAGACCAAATGTGTTTTAGAAGAAACTGCACAGCCATGAAGCCTGCAAGTGCTCTGCAGGAATCTCTCCAGATGCCGGGCGGGCTCCACATCTTTGCTCCCCAAGGTTATCTGGAGCCGAGGTTGACCTTTTCATCGCGTGTGTAGATTCTCCTTTTTGATGTGGAATGTTCCTTCCTGTGATTGGATAGTAAGAAAGCGTTAGTTGGAAGCAAAAGACAATGAGAAGGCAATGGTTCATCAAAGGGCCCAGGACATTACAGTTGCAGAATGTTTTTCTTCCAAAATATAGGATGTTCCCCCAAAATGTATACTCACACTTTGAATAATTATAAAGGCAGGATTTATTAAAATACATTTTATTTTCAACATTGAGCTATCAGCTGTTACAGTGTGTATACATTTTTGGGGAAACCCTGTATTGACAGCACTTACAGAAGGTAGTCCAACACCACCTTAGTCTTCTCCTTAATCCACATTTTTACATTTGCAGGATTTTTTGGTTTGGAAGTTTCTTAAGAGGAAAATGCAAAGTTCCAGACCTGAAAATGTGTGGTAAAGCTAGGGAGAATTGTTTTTCCAAAAGGAAAACATCCTAGTTAATATTTTGGTGTTGTATTCAGAGTCGTGAAGAAATGGAAAGAAGAATAATTATTCCAGTTTACTTTCTGAGTAGGACCTGTGTTTGTTTAGAATTTTGGGCCCAAGTTGAAAGCAAGCTGACCTCTCCTGGCTGGGATGGGATAGCTCACAGAAGTAGCCAAGGAAGGGCAGAATCCAAGAGCAGAGCGGCTGCAGAAAGTACAGTTGCTCCAAACCCTGCCTGCTATTTTTAGAAAATGATTCTTTAATTATTTCCTTCTGCTAAGGTCTGACCTACACTAACCCCCTCCTGCGAGGCTCCAAGGCCTCATCAGGCTCTTAGACTGGCTTCTTGCAGGCAGGTCATTTTGGGAATGCAAATTACAAGACCTCCTGCAGCTGGAGCACTCAGCTACACAGTCACACTCTCACAGGGACAGTGCGTTAAGCCTAGGGTTTGGAGGAAGGAAAGAGTTGAAGGACAAAAGCTTTACCTGGTCATTTGCGTTTCTGTGACATCTTTCTTTCTTCCCCAAGAAGTTCCAGTTCATTGGAACACTTCCTCTTCCTTCTCCTAGATACAGGGGATCGCCCGTCCATTCCTCCCATTCATCCAGCGCCCATTTCCTGAGTGACTACTATGTTTCAGGCATTAAGCTTATAACAGCAGGTAGGAGACCATTTAAAAATGGCCCAGCTTACCTAAAACCCTTAAGTACAGCAAGCCTAAGACATCTGGATGTGTTCCGTTCAATCATATTGTTACCCCGGATATGAAAAACAAAACTGCATTTTAACTCCAAACCAGGTGGCACCTCAATGGTCTGCCGATTTTCATTTGGGCTATTTGTTACTAGACCCCAAATCCTAAGCTGCTTAATAGAGAACAAAACTGGCTAGACCCAGAAAGCGGGTGGGGCGACCAGGGAAAGGCCCAACTCGGCAAGACTGAGAGGCTTGGTTCGGACTGAGACCGGGCCCAGGGAGACACTCCATCTTGGAGACAGCAGGAGGCGGCCCAGCGTGGGCAGATGACAAACCAGTCTCGGGCTCTCTGGTAATGAGGAGGTAAGCTTTCTTAACGAGCTGAGGCGGGGAAGAGAACTTATCGGAAGGACAGTGTCTCATTGGACCCCTAGGGCCAGAAATGCATGGGGGCCTCATGAAAGACTTGAATCAGAAAATGGAGAATTGGGAATCGAGTTCCTGTCTCTATCTAGACGCTCCTCTGAGTCACTCATTTCTGCTTCTCTCTGTACTTCTGCTCCTAAAACTCTGTCCCCAGTTCCCATGGGGATTCTTTGCAACACCAGCAGGGTGTCCGGTGTCCTGCAACTCAGCTCCATCCTCTCTGCCCAGGGAGAGTATCGGCCACCACAGGGGAGGGCTCAGTCCATAAGGCTGGCCTCCACTTTAGATGCCAGTCGCTCTCATGGTCACACTCAGCTAAGCAGAGTCTCTGGTTCTAATTCCAAACCCTTGAACAGTATTAACAGCAATCAGCTCCAGTCACTGAGTAATTCAAAGCAGGCCTGGTGGCCTTGCAGACATACCATGAGGAGTGAAGACCATTTTCCATTCTCCTCACCAGTCCTTTCTCTCTCAGTTTTCCTTCTATATTCTCTCACCTTCCCCCACACCAATCATCTAATTCAGTGTGCACAGGATGAATGGTGGGACCCCTAGAAAACCAGCCAGGTTTTCGAGGGTAACACCACCCCACCATAAGGTCCCCTCAGCTGCTCAGTGCCAGCGTCCAGGGCTCATGAGGGGCTGCGTGTGACTGCAGTGTCCTTCTGGCTCAGGAATGTGCAAGAGCAGGTGGGGAAAATAGCCCACAAGAGATGGGTCCAAAACCAAGGTCCTCTTTTGTCAGAAGAGCACGTTTCCCTAGAAGGCTCGTTCCATGTCAACAATGCTAATGTCTGTTGGCTGTCGGTAGCGTCTTAGCAGCTGTGTTCACTGTGTTGCTCGCATGGCTGAGCAGGGACATCTTTTGGATACTCGTGATGCCCCATTTGGCAACTGTGTTGGAAGTCTCAGGTGTTTAGATGAGGCTGATAATTTCATAGATCTTTCCTCAGAGCTGGGCTCTGGGGCTCACGCCAGAAGCTCAATTCTCTGTCCAGACAGAAGCAGCCCTGGCCCTCTCAAGGCAGCCAAGATGGGAAAAACTCAGCCTGGTGACAGGAGATGCAGGAAACTGAATTCCGGTGTCAGTTACCCTGCTTCCAAACTGCATCCTCCGAAAAGAGATGTCTCCTTACTGTGCCTCCTTCTCCCCATCTGTGAAATGGGATCATAACACCCATCCCTTCCCTGACTGATGTAAGGAGAAGGGAGAGAGCTCATTTCTCAAACGTCCTTCTGTTTGACCCTTCTCCTTCAGTCATTGACGGGCCCACACAGATCCTGGTGCGAGATGTCTCCGACACCGTGGCCTTCGTGGAGTGGACTCCCCCTCGAGCCAAAGTCGATTTCATCCTCCTGAAGTACGGCCTGGTGGGCGGGGAAGGCGGGAAGACCACCTTCCGGCTGCAGCCTCCCCTGAGCCAGTACTCAGTGCAGGCCCTGCGGCCTGGCTCCCGCTACCAGGTGAGCGTCAGTGCCGTCCGTGGGACCAATGAGAGCGAGGCCTCCACCACCCAGTTCACGACAGGTAAGGCTGCGGCGGGGCAGAGGGATGACAGGGGATGAGCCAGCGGTGGTACCGTCATGGCAAGAATGGTATTCGTGGGTGAGAGGATGCGTGCTGGGGCACCCAGGTCACCATGGTCATTGCAAGAAGGAAGCATGAGATTTCGGTGCCCCTGGTGACACTGCGTCACAGTGGAGGGCCACGCGTGTACCCGTGGTGGGAGCCATGTTCTCGTCCCGCCTGTTTCCAGCCAGACCTGGGACCTGCTCTACGCCTCGTCCCATGGCTTCAGCTATTTTGTTTGTACAATGTAAATTGTCTTGAAGACGGTTACACATCCATATGACGAGCCCAAATGGCAGTTTGGGGAAGGGGCCCTTTATTGCTGCTTGCAGAGATTGTTGTAATACTTCTGTAAGTCCATCATGACTGCACGGCATGATGGCACCCCTGGATTTGGAAGGGCCCTCACCTGAGATCCTGTGTCTGCCATTCGTTTGTAAGTGTGACCTCGAAGGCTAGGGGCAGACTGGCTCCCTCCCACAGACAGCGGGCGGAGTGAAGCAGGTCAGTGTCCCCGTCTTGTGATGATGCCAGCCCCTCCACCCCCAAAACTGTCGGGACTCTTAAAGAGCTTCACCGACAGCCGGGAAAGGCCAGGCCTCTAGGGGACCTGCTCCCCGACTCTCTCAGAGCCCATGGCTGGACTCCACCCCACCCAGGTGCCAATCAGATTTGTTACTGAACACTCTGCAGCAACCCAAAATCAGGGCCTCGCGTGCAGAGCAACCTCCATAGTGACCCTTCTGGTGAATTCAAGGTCAGCCCTTCCTGCCCCACCCCACACCCCATACACAGAACACCGCCTGCTCAGGTGCTGGGGCCTCCCATGGGCCACAGTCCTGCATTCCTTTTAAAATTTAAAACAGGTTTTGTTTGAAACGTGGTTTATTTGTGCTTTGCTCGGATAAGGAGTTCAAAAAGGCAGGAAAGGGGATGAGAGCCCTTGAGCAGCAGATGAAAAGCAAGTGCTTGATGTTTAGGTTGACAAGATGGAGGCAGGATTGGCTGGTGGCCCAGAAAAATTCCAATCAAGACGATTACATTCTGCTTCCGGGAAGCGGCCCTGAGTCTCGGTTCATTGCTGCATGAGTCTCTGTTGCGGGTTGCCTGGCAGATTGGCAGATGTTAGGAGGCTGCCTTCGCATTGCGGCCTCAGCCCTCACCTCCAACCTGCCCCTCTCTGCTCCGGGGTGCAGGGGCATGGGGAGTGTGGGGATAGGGAGAGTGAGCAGCTTTGCCTATAAGCCCTCAGGGCTGGAGGTTGGCAGGTGCCAGCGGAATGATGAGTGTGCCTGGCCCCTCGCGGTAGGGCCCTCAGTCATTTCAGAACTCCGCTTAAATTCACATTAGCCAAAGTGCTTTTCCAGGTGATGGCTTCAACACCAGGCGAGCACTAATTGCACAGACAATTAAAACAGAGATTTGCTTCCTGCGTGGTGAGTGGGATGTTAGGGCTGCTCAGAAAAAGCAAAGAGCTCAGATGGAAGCTCGCTGAGGCCAGTGGCAAGAGAGCACCAGCCCGAGAACACCAGAGGCCTGTCTCTGCACCTCCCTGCCCCATTGTGGCTCTGGTTCTAGTTTCAGGAAGTTCCTGGGACCCCTCCCTCTGAGCACATCCCCAAAGCACTGAACACAGCCATCACGGCGTTTGGCCAACCAGCAGCTACTGCTTTAACTGAATGCACAAACCCCTATTGAACACTGTTATGAGTTGAATTGTGTCCCCTACAAAGATGTGGAAGTCCTGATGCTCAGTACCTGTGTATGTGACCTAATTTGGTTGATCAAATAAGAGGTCATTAAATGGGCCTTATGCCAATATGACTGTGGGAGAATTTGTCGTGAACTGGGGAAAGGAGGGACTTTGAACCCAGATGGACACGCATACACGGAGAATGCCACATGAAGATGAAGGCAGGGAACAAGCCAAAGGTTGCAGGCAAACCAGCAGAGAGAGGCACGGGACAGACTCTCCCTTGCAGCCCTCAGAAGGAAACAACCCTGCCAACACCCATCTCAGACCTCTAGTCCATGGGTCAATACATTTCTGTCGTCTCAGCCCCAGGAAACTAACGCAAAGGCCAAGCCACCACATGGGAGCCACAGCCTGCTCAGCAGTGAGAGCACCTGCCACCCTCCCCCCACCTCACCTCCAGGACCAGCTGCCTTTAGGCGAAGCTGTTCCTGTCCCTGAACCGCCTCCTCCCAGGCATCCTTCAGAGCCCCGCAGCTGGGATATTTAACAAGGCTTTTCTAACAGCTTTAAGGGAACAGACAAGCCAGAGAACTGCCAGTATTCATCCAGGCACCTCACATGCACTCACTGAACACCTACTAGGTGCCAGGCACTGTCCCACGCACCGAGGCTACAGAATAAGTGAGCCAGACAAGGCCCAGGTTCTCATGAGTTACATTCCAGTGGGGACGCTGGACAAGGAAGAAGAGAAGAAACACACAGGCCATTTCAGCCATGAGCATTATGCTGAGAATCAAAACGGATGACATAGAGAGAAGTTCAGAAACATCTGTCCGAGGAGATAAAGATTTAATCAAGACCTACGGTTACCTAAGCCAAGTGAGGATCCAGGAAGAGCATTCCAGGCAAAAGTAGCAGCCGGTGCAAAGGCCCTGAGGCAGGAATTGCGTGATGTGTCTCAGGGGCAGGAACAGAGGCAGCGCAGCCCGAGCACAGTGAACGAGGGGGAGTGTCACAACGTGTTGTCTGCGAGGCAGGGGGTTGATCACACAGAGCCTGCTGGCCACCCTAAGAGTTCCTAATAGGAAGCGAGAGGCAAGTTTTCAGCAGGGAATCACTGGGTTTACTTTACGTTTTAGAGATTAGATGTGGCTGCTACCAGAGCTCCAAGCCCCAGGTTACCCCTGGGGCCCCTACCGGATATCTGCCTTTTCCTTGCCCCTGGCTTGCTGACAAGTGGCTGGGACCAGCCCAGCAGCCAGAGGTCAGGCTTCAAGACCATTTCACTCCACCAGGCTTGACCTCTTCTGACATCATGGACATTGAAAATGTCTGGTCCCTAATCACAGGGCGCAGGCCTTAAGGCAAAGCAAACAAAAACAGTTTCCAAGGTCTGGGATTTTTGAAAAGCAGGTACAGCACTCAGCCTGAGCCCTAAGCCTCAGCATAAGCCTCAGCTATTGTCACTGCAGTTCCATTCAGCCCGGTCCAATCCCTCATCCCAGCCTCTCCTCTGGCGTGGGACTGAGCGCTGTGGGGTGCAGGGAGGTCCTCCCACATGCCTCTCAGTCCAAGCTCCTCTCTCCACCCAAGTGCTGCAGGAGTAACACGCAGCCCATCGAAAAGGCGCAGTTTCCGATGCTAAAGCCACACTGAGCAAGGAAACGTTTCTCAGAAAAAGTAGCTGCAAAGACCTAAATCTGCCCAAAGTCTCACCGAGTTCCCATCACTAAACAGAACACTCGTCACCCTGAAGCTGCTCGCAGATGGAGTCATGCACTCATCTTCCCCAGGAGCAGCTAGGGGACGCTGGCCTGGCACTTGCCAGTTGAAGCAGGCTACTCCAGGCTTCCTCAGAACTAGCGGCTGGCCCACTGCACAGTCCAGTCCACGTCTCGACAACAAGACCTGTTCGCAACGTTTTCAGTGGCCGTTTATCCTGCCAGTGCCTGTTACCTTGTTACCCCGCAGCGTGTCAGTGTTCTTTTTGCCAAAATAAGCCTGAGATGACCAGTCCTGGGAGAGAGAGCCAGCCCCCAGGATTGTGGGAGAGACCACAATGGCAATGGTCTCTTTACTGCATTGGAATTATTGGACCCCACAGAGCAAGCATGGGGGGTTCCCTGTTGTTGGAACTCAGAAAGCGCTTCGGAGGCAATGGGAAGTCCGTCCAGGGCTTGGGCACCGGTTTTTACACCAGGCCACGCACATCATTTGCATCGTCTAATCTACACAACAATCTAAAATGTCAGTACTATTAGCCCATTTTACAGACGTGGCCATCAAGGCCCAGTGAGGTGACAAGTAATTGGCAGAGTTGGGGCTCAAACTGAGACCTGACTCCAAAGCCCACGTTCTGTCCACTGTCTACCACATCACGCAGAACAGAGTTTATTCTTGCATTATTATTAATTCTTGCATATTTTTCCATATGAACAACTGTCAAGCTATTTTTGCCCACCTCTGTATATAGCATTTTCTAACTGCAAACCTTCCAGCAGCATCTGTGCAGGTAAGCAGGGAGGACAGCTTCAGAATCTTGCTGCCAACAAGCCTCCTTTCTGTTTGGTGGTCAAACGTGAAACTGCGCTAGTCTAGTCCAGCTCCCTCACCTGCACACAGTTTCTCCTGCCAGCACTTGTTACCTTGTGACAGGTGTCTCTGGTTTTGTCCTGTCCGGGTTTTTCCTTGCTTAGTTTCAAGATTATGATACAAACTGGTTCAGTTTAAATGTCTAGAACGCCGCTGGAAATGGGGGAAGAGTAAAGTGTGCTGATAACTAACTCCTAAGCAAAACTCTCCAAACTCCCTGGAATGTGTGGTGGCCAACCTGGCTGCAGGGCAGCCTGGGGTCACTCACACAAGAGGCAGGGTCAGGAGGTGTGGGCTGTCACTGCAAAGCTTGTTTATGTTCAAGATGCATGACAAATGCACATTATCCCGTGTGATCTGGGTGATGTCTGACTCTTTTTTAGAGATTGACGCCCCCAAGAACCTGCGGGTTGGCTCCCGCACAGCCACCAGCCTGGACCTCGAGTGGGACAACAGTGAGGCGGAGGTTCGGAAGTACAAGGTTGTGTACAGCACCCTGGCAGGCGAGCAGTACCACGAGCTGCTGGTCCCCAAGAGCGTTGGGCCAACCAGCAGAGCCACCCTCACCGGTGAGTGAGAGCGTGTCCACACTCTCACAGCTCTCTTCCCGCCCACCTACACCACCGCCAGATGCCACTGATTTAGTCTCTCGTGTGCCTAGCATATCGCATATGTCCCCTACTTGCCATTGCGCGCCATCGCCTGGTCTCGGACCCTGTCACGTCCTGTCTTACATGTCAGGGACATCCATTGCTCTTGGATAAACACCAAACCTTAGCCAAGCCCACACGGCCTACCTGGCTTTCCTGCCATCTTCTCCAGTCTCCCCTCCCTCCCTGGGCTCCAGGCCCACAGGTGTGCTCCTCTCAGTCCCTCAAGCACCTTGCCATTCCCGGTGGGTCAGGTCCCATCTGCAGCCTCATCTCGCTGGTCACCACTCCCCTCCCAGGACCCTGTTTGTCCTGCGTACCGTGCTGGGTGATGCAGTTGTCAGTGTCCACTCTCCACCTAAAGCTCTGTGGAAGGTGGACTGTGTTTGCTTCTGCTCATCATTGGCTCCCCAGTGTCCAGCATCTAGCACTTACTGAGTTCTAAATAAGTGGTGGGTGGATGGATGGATGGAACTTTAAGTGTTCACTGTGACTGGGAAATAGTGATAAGGTAAGAGGCTGGTGGGGCCTTATACACCCTGTCTAGAATGGGAGTCACCGGGATTTTTAAATAAGGTGATGTAAGGCCTAGATCTGTGCAGCTGCAGCATGGAGACGGGGCGAGGGGAGCAAGGACAGAGGCAGACACTGGTCACGAGGCTGTGCTGGAGTCAGTGGCAGGGATGATGATAGTGTGGACTAGGACGACGCCCAGGGTCACCATGATGCCTGGCTGGGAGCATTCCCTGTCCCCATGGAGACGGGGTCCCAGCCAGTGCTCCTCCTGGGCTTCAGACACACCCACCCAGGTGGACTCCACTGACAGGTAGATGACGGGAACGCAGGGCGCGTTTAATATGTGACGTGCACAGCAGCCTCGGATGAGGGCTGCCAACGCGCCTGCACACACAGCCTCTGCTCAGTGTGCCGTGGCTTCCTACTGGAGCACTGGCCATCTTAGCAGACGGGAGGCACAGCAAATGGTCGCACAGTAAACAAGGGCAGTGGAAGCAAAGCTGTTTCCTCCTAAGCTGAAATCCCAGGCTGCCTTGCCCAACAAGGCCGGTTAAAGCAAATATAATAAATGCACTTTCCAGGCAGATGCACTTCTGAAAACACAGCCAGGAGACGCAAGGATATGCTGACCAAGCAGGTTAATGGGGGTGAATTAGATGTAGTGGGAACAGACCAGCTGGCAGAAGGGCTTTTACCGAGAGCTGGAGACATTCACAAAAACTAAGCTAAACCAAAAAGCTGAAATGATGCAGCAGGGAGCCGATTCTAAGCGCAGCCCATCCCTACCTAAGCTTCAGGCTGGTTTGGCAATTAGCACTTTCCAAGGATGATGGCTAGTTGTTAGGATGGCAGATACACCATAGAATCATGAGAGAGATAGAAAAGAGCGCAGTCACATCCCAGTCATTATTTCCCTCAACCAGGGGGAAAAAGACTCTACCTTCATTGACCATTAGTGTTATTCCAGTCACCTTCATGTAGGTACAGCTCATTTCACCTTCAGAACACCCCTGAGGGTTGTTGGCATCCCCATTTTATGGATGTGGAGACTGAGGCACTTGGAAACTTGCCCAAGTTCACAAAGCCAGCAAGGGGCACAGCTGTGACTCCAAGGCAGCTCCAAGTCCTCATCAAAAGCCTCCCGCTCCGTGCTGCTCCTACTAAAGTAGTAGACTGGAAGGGACAGTCAGCACATCAGTGCTGCAGACTTATAAGGAAAGGAAAAATTATTAACAAGGAGAGGGCTTGCATAGTTGACGTTTTAATTAGAGTTGGGCTGATGAAATTAACCTATAAATATATATTACTCATAATTATCGCAGGGAGTTCGCAGCTGGGGAGATTTATAGAGGCAAATGGCTTTGTGTGACTTAAGGAAACTATGTTGTACTTGCTGAGATGCAAGTTACAAGGACTGTTGGCTCTCGAGCAGCCTTCTGGGGGAACAGAAGGAAGGACCTTGGCTGAGGGGAGGCAAAATGAGGGAGAAGCTCCGCCCCCTTTTTGTCTGGTTCTAAACACAGTCATTTGCATTTATAAAAACAAGACCCTGGGCAGGGTGGGAAAGGCACTCCAGGTCACCTGCAGCAATCCCTCCCTAGGAACTTCAGTTCTCTCTGTTCCCACCCTCCCTATCCCCTGATCAAAAAATAATCGGGGCTCCAGGCAGGAGGCCCCACTCCCATTGAGTGCTTTGCTCATCAGCAGTGCCCTCCCAGCAGAGCTGCGGGGAAGTCAAGGAGATGCCATGTGCGACTCTAACAAACTAGTTCATAATAGTGTTCTTGACCATTAGACACTCAAAAATTCCCCTTCAGTGTTTATCCCTCCTTCCTTCCCTCCCTTTCTCCTTCATTATTTTTCTAGATCACCCATTGCTTGCAGCCCAGTGCTTGGCATAGTGTATGTGCTCAAGAAGTCATTGGTTTCCTTCTTCACCAGATTTTTTTTTAATATTTTTTATTGATTTTTTTACAGAGAGGAGGGGAGAGGGATAGAGAGAAACATTGATGAGAGAGAAATATCGATCAGCTGCCTCCTGCACACTCCGTACTGGGGATGTGCCTGCGACCAAGGTACATGCCCTTGACTGGAATCGAACCCGGGACCCTTGAATCCGCAGGCCAACGCTCTATCCACTGAACCAAACCGGTTTGGGCAGATTTTTAAAATCTCATGAAGGGCAAGGGTGATGTCCATTCAGTTCACCCTGGTGCCCCGTTCACAGCCATGTGCCTGGCACACAGGAGCCTCTCAGTAACATCTGGCGAGTGAGTGCACTGTGTGCCGCAGGAGTTCAGAGCAGAATAGGTTCAGAGGAGAGCTGAGAACAGCGTCACCCTCCAAGCCGAACAAAGGAGGCTCTGTAAGAGATGGAGACCAGGGGTTTCCTACCAGGCGAATTTTCTGAGCTATTGTTAAGAAAGGGAACAGAGCCATTGTTACATTACCACTTTCAGGTGTTGGATGGGGAGATAAAGGGAGCATTGATAGAGAGCCATGAGCTCTCGAAGACGTGAGTAACCCCCCGGAGCCCCCGGAGTGCAGATGTATAAATGCACTGGATACGCCTCAGATATACATTTCCTTCTCGGGGAGAACTGCACTTTACCTGCTGGCAAAGAGCAGCGCTCACTTCCACACTGGAAGAAAGCTGCCAAAAATGAAAGGAAAGCAGCAGGCGGGAACCTACCAAGCGAGCTCCGCTTCCCCGCTCCCCAGGTGGAAGGCCTGAGAAGAGAGCACTTGAAATTCTGCTCCATGTTTTTCTGGAAGAAGATGATTCCGTTGTAAATTATTGAACATTTCATTTAAGCTTCATAAATAAGAAACTTGGATGAAAACATTGCATGTTAGATCCGCTTGGCAACATGTAATTTCTGTCTTACTTCCTCGACCTGTCACCCTTCATCTGCTTCGGAGAATTTCTACTTCATTATAGGCAATTGAAGGTCTCAATCAGTTGCCTGGGAAAAGTAGTTTATGTCCCAAAGGTAATCTAATTTCTCCAACCAAGGTTGTGCCTGGGACGCGTGACAGAGATAAATGTGTGCTTTGAAGAGGTCTGGGGCATTGCAATCACCCCATCAATCTAGCCAGGGCCTCACTGCCGCCTGGGCTCCCCGAATCTCTGGTTTCATCAGCAAACCAACAACAGGTGTGCTGAGGACCAGCCTGTACCTGCCTGGGCAACACACAGAAAGAAGAAAGGACCCAGAATCCAGGAATAGTTCTCCAAGCAAGGTAACAAGAATGTTGGCTACTGTCATGATGAGCCACGCACTGCACTTCATCCACATCAGTTCACTTCATCCCCACAGTGACCCTCTGAGATACTGTTATTCATCTGCTTCTACAGAAACTGGCCCTCAAAGACACAAAATTAAGGAATCAAAATGCCCAGATGGAGAGTGGCAGACCTGAATATTGAAGGGAGTTTGGCAGACCTCAAACTCTGTCTGACTTCCGAGTTCACACTACTAGTGTTGACACTTCCGAGAATAACTAAGGATTAGGAAATAGGCGGGGCTGGCTGAGGAAGGGAATAGACGAGGCCATGCATCCCTGCAGGCAAGCCTGGTCAGCAAGGCCGGGTGGGCTCTGCCCCATTGAGCATGGGGGGATTTATTGCTCAGCCTGCACTGAAACCACACAGGGGGTGGGTGCAGACCCTCTGACTGCCCCACAGCACTCCGCTTCCATAAGCCAGGCCATTTGTTAAGGAAACATCGCCCCATGCCCTTCCTCTCAAAATCATTCCTGATACATCAGGGATCCTGAGGGAGTCAAGGATCGCTGGCCATCACCAAAGCCGGGAGGAGTCTCCACGCAGAGCCTTTGGAAGGAGCGTGGCCCTGCGAACACCTTGATTTTGGCCCTCTAGCTTCCAGAACACTAAGAGAGTACATTTCTGTTGTTTTAAGCCGCCTAGTGTATGTCCATTTGTCATGGAAGCCCCTGGAAACGAATGCAGATGGGAAAGGTTCTTCATCCCACCATGTTGCAAGGTTGTGGTGAGGATCACACACATGCAGGTGTTCTGCAGAGAATAAATGTTCCATAAATGCAGAAGAGCACGGTCATCAGCCAGGGCTCTGGGGGCCCAAAGGACTGAGACTGGCCAGGGGGGCCTACGGGTGATGATGTGATCTTGTTGCATTTTTTCTGCAGTCCCAGGCCTAATCAATGAGGGTGTTTGATGGCCCCAAAGATGTCTACATTCTAATTCCTGGCCCCTGTGACTATGTCACCTTACATGACAGGAGAGCATTTGCAGGCAACCTCTAGCAGCTGGAAAAGGCAAAGCCATGGACTCTCACCTAGAGCCTCCAGAAGCCATGCAGACTGATGGAAGCATTTTAGACTGCAGACATCGTGGACTGTAAAACAATAGACTTGTATTGTTCTGGCCATTCGGCTGTGGGAAGAGGGAGTAGCCGTAGGAAATTAATATGCCAGTCAAACCAGTTAGTCTGGAAATCAGTGTGGGAGAGAATAGAGACCCCAGATGATTCCAGATGTCCTGGGAGGCTCCCCGTGATCCTTTGTATTGAACCCCCAAAGGATTTCCCCAGAGAGGTTTACACCCTTTAGTTGGGCAGTTTTTGTAATTTTCTCTATCCTCCCAGGTCCCCAGAGATCATCCTAGAATTGGATTCATATTCTGGGGCCCAAATTATCCACCTTGGGAGGGAATCCACAGCAGCAAGCTCCTGTGTGCCCCTGCATTGAAGGCCTGTGCTCAGAGAGAAAGATCGCCCACTGCCACTCTCTCGAACAGACCAGAAAGCCCCCTGTGGCCTCAGTCACTATACAAACCTCATGTACAACATCCAAGAAAAACTTTAAAGGACTATGTCCACACAGTCCCTCAAGAGTGCACACTCCCCCAATCCACAGTTTAAGCAAGAAAGCCGTTCACCAGTTGTCATCAACCTGAGACTCTAAGTACCATGGAGAGACCTTCCCCAGGAGAGCACACCTCTGATGGCCACTGGCAAGGGGAACCTGCCTGCCAAGGAGACCAGCAGCAAGAAGGAGGCTCTGCACTGACAGTTAGTCCATCCTGTTGACTTGGCTCAGATCTCCCCAGTGGTGAAATTGGGGTGTCCTGAGAGGTAAAATTAGGGTGGGTTCAGAAAGGACTAAGCACAAGATCTGAACAGGAGTCTAAAATGACTGGCTTCCCTCTTTTTCATCCTTCCCACCCTTGACAGACACACAGAATAACATTTGTTTCTGCATCTACCAATAGATCTGATACCTGGCACTGAGTACGGATTTGGAATATCTGCTGTCATGGACTCACAGCAAAGCATACCAGCCACCATGAACGCCAGGACAGGTGAGTAGGAATTGGTACAGAATGAGACCAGGCCCCTGTAATCCCAAGGGGCCACGAGGTTTGTCCTGGCAAAGTTTGGTGAGAGGCAGTGCTCCCCCATGAATAGGTCCCTGGGCAACAGCTGTCAGCCTGAAAACGACCACCTCCTGAAACTCTTTGATTCCCTGTGCCTCCCCCTGACATCCAGGATGGAGTACAGGTCTGTGCATGGCCCTCTGTGGTATAAGGAGCGGTCCAGAGCAGAGGTGGAAAATTCCAAATAAGTCGGCACCACAGCAGACAGAATGTGGTATCCGTTAATGTACTACAGAAGCCCTCAGAAAGACCAGGGGGTGAAGGTCTAGACTTTGAAATAACCCATGAAATCTAAGGGCAATGGAAAAGTCCACACGGGATCCTTACTACTCTCCATCCAGCACTTTTACTTTCAAGTCCCAGGTAAACTTCAGAGTCTCTCTAGTACCTTAGGTGCAAACCATGGGCTGAGCATAGACAATCTCTCTAGAGAACCACGTGGGTCACCAAGAGGCCTCCGATCTAGTTGCCTGCACACTCATGGCCATGTCAGTCAAAATGGCCTCAGGAACAGAGGTGGCCACTGTTGCTAGGAATGGTACAGCCCTACCTGTGGCTCCTGTCTTGCCCTGATCAGCTTATTAAGAAAGGCTGGGAGACAATGAATTTGCGGAGCTTGAAAATCAGCAGCCAGCTGATAATGCCCTTCTTCGATCTGTTTGCCAAGCCCCCAGCCATCTTTCAAAGGGAAGGTGCCTAACAACATGTGAGCTAAGTGTCAGCAAGGACAAGCTATCCTCATGGTCGGCAGGACTGCTGATAGTATAGAAATCCACAGCGGGGTCGGGAATGATTCCAATAAATACTGGCCCTCCTGTGTGAAATCGGCTCCTTATGTTTATCCTCAGAACTTGACAGTCCGAGAGACCTTATGGTGACAGCCTCCTCTGAGACCTCCATCTCCCTCATCTGGACCAAGGCCAGTGGCCCTATTGACCACTACCGAATTACCTTTACCCCATCCTCTGGGATCGCCTCAGAAGTCACTGTGCCCAAGGACAGGACCTGGTACACACTGACTGATCTAGAGCCTGGGGCAGAGTACATCATTTCCATCACCGCTGAGAGGGGTCGGCAGCAGAGCTTGGAGTCCACCGTGGATGCCTTCACAGGTACCAGGGCAGCAGCAGCCCAGCTGCACTCAGGGATCCACGGGCCTTAGTGTGAGCAGGTCACCCAGGCAGAATGTGGGTAGAGAAAGAACAGGTAGAGGAGACACTAATAAATCGTCAAGAGGGAATGGTTTGAAGTCAAGGGGAGAGGTGAGCAAAGCCACCTGGATGCCTAAAAATTTGTGTCTGATTGAGTAGCCCAGAGAGAGGGGCTGATCTGTCTCTTTCCTCACCTGCACTAAATCAGTGGGTGATCAGAAGACCCCATGGGATCATGTTAAATCCCTGCCAGGATCTAGGTTTTAAATCCTGGATCTTATTATGAATAACTCACAGAGGTAATGCCGGTCTACCCTTCATTTTTCGGTATAGGCTTGGAGAAAGGAGCGTGGACAGGACTGAAGCCGGTGGAGGTGGAACCTCTGGCTCAGCGGGAAAAGGCGTGGTCCTTATTAGCAAGGAAAGCACATCCCTTCGGTCAGATAGCTCCTCTAGCCAGGTGGCCCCCCTACCTCACCTGTGTTTCAGAACCGCCCATCTCTCTGCTTTGCAGGCTTCCGCCCCATCTCGCATTTGCACTTTTCTCACGTGACCTCCTCCAGCGTGAACATCACCTGGAGTGACCCATCCCCTCCAGCAGACAGACTCATCCTGAACTACAGCCCCCGGGATGAAGAGGAAGAGATGACAGAGGTCTCCCTGGATGCCACCAAGAGGCACGCTGTCCTGATGGGCCTGCAGCCGGCCACCGAGTACATCGTGAACCTGGTGGCCGTCCACGGCACAGTGACCTCTGAGCCCATCGTGGGCTCCATCACCACAGGTGAGGCTGCAGGACTTGACAGAAGGTGGGGACAGTAGCCTTTGACAAGTTAACAAAATTTACCAAGTGAAACACCCAAGGAGCAGGAGACTGCCTCATTCAGCTAAAGAGGGTCTGTGGAAAAGCCACTTCTTCTGTAGTTACACACAATGCAAAGATGGGAAACTCCAATTTGAAGGTAGGATGGGCCCAATGTCTTGCGGAGGCCAGGGCTTAAATGTATTGGTCCAGAGGTCCTCCCTCTAGCAGCCTAGGACAAAGCCCTACAGGGAGCTAGTCTGCAAGAAGAAAACCTTCTGCAGTAAGGAAATACCTGTTTCTATTCTGGAGAGCCATCTCTTAACTGCTCATTGATGTGAATGATTCTTCCCCAGAATCAGATGGGACTAGCATTCAACCATGTAGGGCCCTGGTACTCAGAGAACAGGGTTGATTTGCATGTTGTTAGGAAAACACGGGCACTCTGAGATGGATTGGATCATTCTCATCTCATCATTCCCAAATACAGTCCCAAATATTAGTGTGAATATGGGTGAGGACATGTGTGTTGGGTAGTTTGCTACATGCTGACAAGAACTCACAACTGGACAAGTGGATTCAACACACCTGGTTTCCATCCAGCAGTTAAAACATTAAAGTGCACAGTAAAAATGAAATAGAGTTTAGCAAAGTGGATTTTCTCTGAAATCCCTCTCCAGTCAATAGGCATTTTTTTCTAAATTGAATCAAAATTGGCTGCTAAAAAAATAAGGGATAGAGACTGACAGAGCTAGGTTTGCCCAAGAGAAAATAGCCATGTTAGTTCTAGTTTAAAACAAAGCATACAAACAAAGGGAGCTTCCCAGTTGGCCTTCAAGTAGGTAATAGTTGCTGCACAGGCACAGACCTTACCAGCTTGACTTTATGTCATTAAAACATCCTCCACGAATGTGGCTTGGGCCACGCCCATGAGGCTGCAGGTGAGACTTCAGCCTGACCATGGTGTTAAGGGTGCCCTACCACTCAGTATGGTCTGGGACACCATTAGCTCTTGGTCCACATAAAACCAGGGAGAGGAATTCGTTTTTCACACTGTGCTTTCTGTCTTTTTCCCACAACCACCGCCTTCCTTATAGGAATTGATCCCCCCAAAGACATCACGATTAGCAATGTGACCAAGGACTCAGTGGTGGTCTCCTGGAGCCCTCCTGTCGCATCTTTTGATTACTACCGAGTATCATACCGGCCAACCCAAGGTAATAAAGCCATTCCATTTCTCGGAGACAAATGGGATTCGGTTCTGGGAGAAGTAGCGTGTCCCAGAGGCTGTCACCCGGCTTGCATTGCCCTCCTCTCTGTGGCATCAGAACGAGAGTGGGTGGGTGAGGAGCAGCCCAAGGCCCTGCACTCACCAGCTCCTTTCCTAAAAGGTGGGGCTGCATTCATCTAGAAAGCAGGCCCGTCACCAGCAGAGCAACTGCTCCCTGTTACCCAGGTAGTGGGCAGTGCAGTGAGGCACAGAGAGCCCTGAAAGAATCTGCCAGGAGCCGGGGTCATGTGCACTCCCGAGAGAGCCTAAGACTAGAGCCCTGGGGGATGTGTGAAGACCCAGCAGAACCAGATGGGAGCTTGGAGGGAACCACAGTGACAGTGGCCCTATTTCTAGCCAAGCTATGAGTCAGAGGAAGTTGGCCCAGACCTCGCTTGTATCCTGCCAGTTCTAACTGGTGCATATGGCATTGGCGGAGGACACACTCACTTCCCGGGAGGGGATGGGGTCGTGTTCCAGGTCTGCAGGACCCACCCTTTTCGGCCAGTCCCTCTGTGCTGCCTTTATAAAGACCAGCGTGCTAGAAAACCACCTAATAAATAGTTCTTTTTCCTCTGCTCCGGGGAGCCTATAAAATGAGGGGGTGGAACCAGCATGCAGGGTCTCTAAGCTCCAACATTCCCAGTCCATGAACCTTCTCTCCCACTGAGTGCTGAGCCTTGCACCATCAGTGCCTCCTGACCAAGTGCTGCTGGGAGCTCCTCTGTAGACTGTACCGTGAACTGTGTTGATGAGTGATTCTGCTGAGAGTTAACTGTGACTCTGCTCTTCCTTAGTGGGGCGGCTGGACAGCTCAGTGGTGCCCAACACTGTGACAGAATTCACCATCACCAAGTTGTACCCAGCTACCGAATACGAAATCAGCCTTAACAGCGTGCGGGGCAGGGAGGAGAGTGAGCGTGTCTGCACTCTCATGCACACAGGTAGGCCTGTCTCCCTGGGGTGGGCCAAGTCAGAACCTGACTGAGAACCTGCAGCAAACAGAAGAGGCAAAGCGTGAAGGTGTTCTGGCTGATTCAGAGGTTCCATTCCTGGGCGCCCCTTTGACTTCTGCATCACGCAAAGCAATTTGCAACTTCTCTCTTCCCTGAGAGTCCTCTCTCCTCCTGACCCCCTAGGGGTCATGCAGGTCTAGATCAGGAACTTCCTATTTGAAATGTGGCCTTTCAAAGAGCCATAATGGAAGTGAATTTCAGAACAGACATCTGAATCATGTCATCTAATTTTTTAAACAGCTCAAGAAAATTGCACCTCAGAGAAGGAAGGGGTTTGTTATTCCAGCAACAACCCATGGGGTCATGGAACCCCTCATCAAATATGGCCACAACCACCAAGGAGCTGCTCCAGGGATAGAGGAAGAAGTTGGTGACCTCCTCTGCCCCTTAGCCAGCCCACCTTGAAGATAGGACAGACTTGCTGTAGAAGTCACCAGTGGGGACAGCCAAAGCTTTCTGTCCCTAAGCCCTGATAACCTGACCCCGCCCCCGTTAAGCTTTCATCCTCCCAGTCCATGGGAAAGCATCCTTAGGGGAACACCTGGATTTCCCTCAGAGAACAGTATTTCCTGAGCAAGGGAATGTAACTTGGAGTTCCTCACTGCTTCTATAGATAGTCGAACGAGTATAGAAACAGCACCTCTAAGGCCAAAGAAACATCCCTTCAGAAACTCAAAATCATTCTTCTAAAGACATCCCAGAATATCCTAATCCCCCTGGTCTCCTTCCAGACCTGTGACTGCAGAAAACCCAGCCATGTTTTGGGTTCAGTCTTACCCCTTCCACTAAATTATCTGTGACCAATAAAATACCAAGAAATATTGACCCGAAGTGATACCTAGTGGGTCAGTAGAAACCCCCTTCACACCTTCCTGAAAGTCTTAGAAATTCATGATAAAGTAGGCTCCTTCTCACTGAGGACAACTAAATGGATTTTAAGAGTCTCCAACCCCCAACATAAAAGAGAGCAGAAACTTAAGTCAAAAAACTCATTCCTTAGCATTTCTTACCAGTGCACCAGCCCAAACCACCCTCCTTCATGTTCAGGCAGCACTATTTTGCAAATTTCCAATACCCAGATTGCTCACAGAAATGTCTTATTTTGTTGTCATTTGTTGTTTTAACATGAGGTCTATGATTTTACAAGTTTTGGAAATGAGTATTCCTTCAGGGTCTCAGGCTTCAGCTCAGAGAGATCAAACTGATCAGTGTCATAAGACTTTTCTTTTATTCACATAAAGTTCCATTTGAAGAAGTCACTGAAGGCCCAGATTAGGGATACAATTCAGATGTTAAAATTATTTTTAAAAAAATTTCTTGCTGTTGCTTTGAAATGAGGGACATAGGCAAGCAATAAAAACCTTTGATTAGAGAACAGGACCAGATGAGCAGCACATCGTGGCCCTCAAAAGTAAATTACTTGTCAAGGGCGGGGAAAATAAAAGGAGACATATGTAATACTCTTTGTAATACTTTAAGCAATAAAACAATTTAAAAAAGTAAATTACATGACATTAAGTTTGAGCTGATACCTAAACTATTGTAATAACATCCATTTCTAAAATAATCCCAAGTTTGGGGAAGGGAGACATAGAGTATGGACAAATTAGAATAGGAATGTGGTCCTATAACGGCAGACCTGGTTCCCCAACAGGCATTCTTGGAAGAATCTCCTGTCTCTCATTCACAAAAAGGATAGCAGGACCGAGTACAGAGTGAGCCTTTGTGAGTAGAAAAGCAAGAATACATAGTCGGATAGGACTTCAGAGGTAACCTCACTCCCATTCAGTCATTGCACAAGTGTTTATTGAGACTCTACTAAGTTTTAGGAGCTGGAGCTACTCTGCCTCCTTGGAGCTCCCACCACATTCAACAGAGATCACGTCACAAGCCAAGCCCTTACATCTATGAAAGTGCAAATAGCCTGGAAGCATAGTCTCCTCTTCACTAAAGAGTTAGAACAACTTCTATACGTTCCCAGTTTTGCCATCTAGCTTGAAACGCCTAAGACACACGGCCATACCTTGGGACCCCCCACAGAACCTGACAAGCACTCTGCACATAAGTCAGTTAATTCAGAGGAAGATCTGGGGAGAAGAGGAAGGGGCTGATGTAACGAACCAGGATCGGAGAAACGAGCATGGTCTCCACTCACTTCACTGTTTTGTAAGGCACAGCAGCAGAGGTGCATTGTGGGTGAAAGTATGGGAGACGCTGTGGGTGGAACTACAGGGGACCATTCACGGGACCAGCCTGTAGCTGCTCCTACTTTCCCTGCTGTTCTATTCTGTTGCAGCCATGGACAACCCTGTGGATCTGATTGCTACCAACATCACTCCGACGGGAGCCCTGCTGCAGTGGAAGGCGCCTGTGGGCGAAGTGGAGAGCTACGTCATTGTCCTCACACGCTTCTCAGGTGAGTGTCTGCAGGTCTGCACCTCAGACGGGTGGGCATGGCGGGGATTGGGGCAGAATATAGTATGAAAGTTAAAAAAAAAAAAGGCATATTGTCCATCTGAGGGACAAATTAGAGATTTCCTGCCCTCAAGATGTCCCCAAACTCTATCAACTATGGGAATTGAGAGAGCGGGATCTGAAAGGCGCGAGAAGGGCACATAACCAGGGGCAAATACAAAACTGGAGAAATCGCATTAGGAAGATAAACTAAGAATTTAGCTAAGACTTACCCCAAAACACTATGAGCAAGAAAGCAGACTTTTCTAGATATTTAAAGAGCAAGAAAAACACTAGTTATAGGACCATGCTCAGAGCAGATAATACATAACAGTGGCAAAGGACCAAGAACTAATAAACTCTCCCGTTGCTTTGGTCTTCTCTATCCACATGCAGCCCCAAATTGGAGTTTCAGTGTCTTCTTCACCATGCTTGTTCACCTTATGCTATTTGAATAGTGAAGCCCAAACCAAAATAGTGTTGAGTAGTCCAGGTCTCTAGGCCTACAGAAATTATTTCCCTGCCCATATTACATATGTACATATGTGATCACAGAATTGTTGTGGGTTATCTTCAGGAATCCAGAGAACAAAGATATCAGAAGACAGAAGTCAGGCCGATGTCTTAATTTTCAAAATTAAGAATTTTTTTTTTTAAAAAAAAGACACAACAGTATGATGATTGCCAGGTAGAAAGGGGTGTGGGGAGAGAAAGAAGAGGGTAAAGGAGAGATAAATGGTCACAGAAGACTTGACTTTGGGTGGTGAATGCACAATGCGATATACAATGTTACAGAGTTTTACACTTGAAATCTATATTTTATTAACCGATGTCACTCCAATAAATGCAATTAAACATAAATAAATTTTAAGAAAATTATGAGAAAGCCAAGTCTGTAAGCTACAAAGAAATACTAGTACACTGATTGTCAAAATTTGGGAAAGTAGAAACCAAAATAGATTATTATACAAAAGGGAAAAAGAATTAATGATAACTTCCATACCAGCACAGGTTCCCTAGGAATAAGTTTTTCCAAAACTACTTTATGTCCTTGTTTTTTATTGGAAAATCTTCTAGCACCTTCAGCAAGGCATTAGAAAAACCCACTTATCACTTAGATGGACAATACACAATGGGTCATATACGGAGTTGCAGAGAACTGTAGCTGATTGAATGCCCCTCCTCAGAATGAACACCTTTCCTGTGGCTACATCCTAACCCCTCGGCACACACTCACAGTCCATTTCAGTCCTCCCATGCCTCCTTGCCCTTCACGATCCTGCATTTCTTACCTCTCACCATGCCTTCTCAAGCCACCAGGCATTTGCACATGCTGCTTCCTCCACCAGGAAATTCTCTCCCCACTTGTCTGCCCAGTAAACCCATCCTTCACCACCATCCCTTTGTCAGAGCTGCCATTATTCCCCTAAGAGAGTCAGGTGCACTGACTCACAGGTACTAAAGTACACAACTCCAGCGCAACAGCTAGCATTCTTTCATTCAACAAATCCTTTTGATGCTATTCCATGTGCAATCCCCCTACTAGACTATAAGGATTCAGAGATAAAACACACAGATTCACAGAGCTCACACCTAGTGATGGTGCAGACAGGTGAGCAGTGTCACAACATAGGCAAGCACAAAACACCTTGGGCCACATCCATGGCCACTGACTGGGATCCCAGTGTTGAGGGGGAAAAAGGGGGGCAGATCTTAGATAAAGAAAGAGAATAGGAGGAAAGAGGGAACTCAAGAACAAGAGCAGCCTGTGCATTTGCAGATAGGAGAGACCACAGAGAGTTTGAGCTGCCAGTTTGTGTGGCTGGGACACTGACCAAAGGCAGGTGTTGCATTTGTATGCTCTTCCCAAGAGTTCGTTTAGATTTTGACTTGTTCGCATGCCTTTAAACCACGGGAAACTTGCCACCTCAGGTCCCACTTACCTAGTGTGAAGAAGTGCTAGTGAACTTGGTTCGATGCTGAATGACTCAGGAGTATTCTAAAGGCACAGGAGGGGGCCTGGCCCTGGTCTAATGACCAGTTTTATCAACAGCTTGAATGGATACAGAGAAGGCATGCTTACCAAATTTGCATATAAAACAAAACTGTGATGGGTAGAATCCAAACTCAAATATATTTTAATGAACTGAAACAGTGGTCCAAAACTCAAGCAACAAGGCAAAAGGCGATAGAAATCAATGCACAAAATCCACTACCCACAGTTGGGTTGGAGGCACTTATGAAAAAGGTCTTTGATTAGTAACACTCTTTGCTTGTGACAACCTTACGAGACTGTCTCAAACCTAATGGATTCACAGACTTGGCACAAATAAAAGCTGACATTGATCCTATTTGTTTCATTGGTTAGTACAGCTCAATCGTTGTTCTCAGTTCTCTCCTGGGTCTTGCTTTTTAGCAGGGACACTGGTAAACTGTTACCTGTCTAGAGAAAGGAAGCCAGCACTGTGGCAGTTTTAGAATTCTCATTCAGGTAATGAGGGCGGGGAAGAAGTGGTCATGTAGACAGAGTTCGGCTTATTCTTTGTAACTCCAGAGTCCTGAGTATCAGTTACAAAAAAAGACAGCTCAGCTTCCAAAGAAGGAATATTTTTCTCAATTAAGATGTAAAACAACATAAGAGGGGATGCTTATATGGAATAAAATGTCAAACTAAATGGCCTCTGAATGATGTTTTTTTCCCAAAAAAATTATCCAATATGGAATTCTGGCGAAATGCCTTTGGACTTGGGAAGTCTTTCTTTATTCAATCCCTGTCCATGTCCATCTGGTTTCAGTTGCTGGAGAGACCATCCTGGTTGATGGAGACAGTGAGGAGTTCCTGCTCACTGACCTGCTCCCTCGCACTCACTACACTGTCAGCATGCATGCTACCAGCGGGCCTCTCACCAGTGGCACCATCAGCACCAACTTCTCCACACGTGAGTGCATGGTCAGCCACATGGCCGGCACCTGGAGGCTCCTGTGGGTGCTGAGGATGCTGTGTCTCCGTGTGGTGGGCTGGATTAGTCTACAGCTCTTAGAGCAGCAATGAGCTGTCCTTACTTTAGTTGACTGCAGCCCAAACGCCAATGAAAGTCAGTGGAGTCAGCAGACACACGTCTACTTTCTGCCTTGACTTGGGTCTGGTGACAGCAGTAGAACCAGGCCAAGAGGGGCCAGTCCTGGAAATGCATCTGGCCAGAGAGTCTGCGGGACATTAAAGGGCTTGATGTTGGGGAGAGAGTTGCTGGATATAGTCGTGGCCGGGGGAACAGTAGACAAAGCTATAGATGTGAGAGTGTTATAAGTTCAAGAGTAAACCACAGACATGCAGGTGCAGCAAGGTCATGAATTCAGACAGAGGGTCAGATTGGAAGATGTCCCCCCAGGCCCAGAGGCCCGGGTGAGGGGAGTGGGGAATAGCTGTCAGAATGCTTATGACCCTAAAGGATCACCTTGTGACTGGGGGGCCCTTCCTGCTCCTGTCCAGGCGAGAACTGAGGTCAGCATGTAAGCAGCCCAGAGACCACACAGGTGGGCAAACAGATACATGTGCCTGGAATCAAATGGGCAGGCGCTCCCGGCATTTTCTCCTCTTTGCAGTACTGGATCCTCCTGCAAACCTGACTGCCAGTGAGGTCACCAGACAGAGTGCCCTGATCTCCTGGCAGCCTCCCAGAGCCGAGGTCGAGAAGTACATCCTGACCTACAAATCCACTGACGGAAGCCGCAAGGTGAGCGTCGACTGAGGGGGGAGGACCATTTCTATCAGGCAATCCACAGCAGCAAACTGGGTTTTCCCTGATGGACACACGGCCTGCTGCTGAGGAGGGAGCCCCAGTCTGCAAGTCAGAGATCTGGGCGCTAACCCTGGCTCTGTACAAAGGCACACTAACCCTCTCTGAGTGCTGGCTTCTTCCCTAAACAATGGGGGTATCTGCCTCTGCGGCTTCACTTGGCTGTGCCAGTGCCTCCAACATGATGAAGCAAAGCGCGCTGGAAACTTCCAAGCTGCTATCAGTACGTGGAACTGGAAGGGCCTTTCACTAGCAGGGCCGAGCACACGAGCTGGATGCCAAACTCAGCAGCCTCTTATGCCTCCCGATCAGCACTAGAAAGGCCACATCTACACAGCCTATTGCAAAGAGATGACAAATCTCTGCTTTATGTCATCGGTTGAAACAATCCATCTAAAGAGCAGGCTGTCATACTTGGTTAGCAGTGGAGGGCTTTTTTAGAGTAAAATCCTATGGGGAAGCTTGAACATGCGGAACAGATTAAACAGCGCTTGTCTGTTGCATGTGGAGCAGGGAGTCCTAGGGTTCTGCTTCCTCAGTTCAAGAGGAGGCCCAGTACAATCCGAAAAGCACCGATTCAACCATCCAGGTGCCGAAATTTACCCCAGCATGCCCCTGGGAGGCAGGAGCTTTCCTTTCTGCTTATTGGCTCTGTTTTCTGCTTATTGTGGGGTGGAGAGGATGACAATGCAATGGCCACTGCAATACTGACCTAGCTGGCCATGGGATCCGGACTTCCCTTCCCCACACCCCTCGTTGCGAGCCGGTCCCTCCCTCCCATCACCCTTCCTCCGGCTCATTCCACAGGAGCTGATCGTGGATGCAGAGGACACGTGGATCCGGTTGGAGGGCCTGTCTGAGAGCACAGACTACACAGTGCTCCTGCAGGCAGCCCAGGATGCCGAGAGGAGCAGCCTCACCTCCACCGCCTTCACCACAGGTGAGTGATTGGCTGCCACTTTCCTGCCTTCTTCTCCCCTGTGTGACCTCAGGCTCCGCAGCAGGAGCCTCTGCCGAGGAGACTGGGCCAAGGAGGAGGCCATCAAAGAAACTCAGTTGCCTCCTCCACTCCTGCCTTTCCCCTCCGATTCCTGCCAGGAAACCTCTCACTACCAACACAACCAGAGGGACCAAAGTGCATCTCCCTGGTCCACCTGGACCAACTAAACGCACCGAGTCAAGACATCAGGTTCCTGTTCAGATTTTCCGTCAGTGTTTTTCCAACAGAGTTTGTTCTTCCCCCTTCCCTTGCCGCCTGTAATCAGAGATCCACCCATAAAGGAAGTAGTAGTGAACCCTCACTATTAACCTGTGGTTCTTCTCCACACACAAAGCACTTTGCATTCTTAAGGTCACAATACAGTCCTTACAACAACTGGGGAGGAGGGCCTTCTTGGCCCCGTTTCACAGGTGCATGGACATCAGATGACTTCCACGCTAGTAAGCAGCTGGTTCTGAACTTGAACCAAGGTCTCCTTCTAAATTCAGTTGGTCCTCCTGCCTTCTCCATCCAAGCATCAGCAGATGATACTTGAAAATGTCCTTTAAGGATAGGAGTGTCCTAATGTGTGCAAGGGGAACTAATATCGAACCTCTGAGGCCGGTGACAGGCACTGTTCTAACTGCATTGCATGTGTGATCTAATGTCATCCTCAGGACAGCCTGCGAGGTGTGTTCTATTACCCCTGTCGGCAGATGAGGAAATGGGGCCACAGGGAGGGGAGGTAACTCCCCCAAGAGCCCACAGCTCTTCAGTAGGACAGCTGGGATTTGACCCCAGTTCTGGCTCTGGGGTCTGTGCTGTACCAATCCTTTCTGTCACTTCCCATGGTGCCTCTCTCTACTGTCTGTAACATGGGACTACCCAGTCTGGACTTTGAATTCTCTCCCTGCCCCACATTCTGGGGTGTGGCTGTGCCCCTATGTGGGGCAAGTGTGGACCCACCCCTTACCCCTAGATGCATGTCTGCCTGCCATCTCAGAGCACCAGGGCGACAGATTCCTGCCCAGGTCCCAGAGCCCAATCCCTAACCCCAGCGAAGTGATGGAAAGTCCTCCATCCTCCCAGGGGCCTCCCCTACCAGACTTGCTCTAAACGACAAAGCAGGACACTAGATCCAACACACCAATTGTCACCAGTGGCTCTTTAGGATAGTGAGTTGTGAATGAGTCCTTTTTTTCCTTCTTTTTTATACTTTTCAATCTTACAATGTACCTACAATGAGCACATTAATCAGAAAAACTTTTGATTAGAAAATAAAAATAAACCTTGGTTTCACAACCAAGACATGACTCCAAAATGTGTCCTCCCCAACTGGAAACTAGAGGACACCTCATCTCTTTTGTGCGGCTGAAGTCAACTATACTCTCCCTCCTGCCCCTTCAGGGCAGTTCTGTCTCAGAACCAAGGTGCTACCTCTTCTTGTTCAAGCCCTTCCCTGCTCAATGACAGGTTAAAGGGTCCTCCAAGCTCCTCTTTTCCAAGCTACCACCCAAAGGCCCTGGATTGGAACTTTTCACTGAATTAAGAATTTCTTTCCCATAAAAAGGACACAGATAACAGAAACATAAACAAATGCAAAGTTCCCTGAATAAATTACAGTAAACCTGCATGGTCAATTGAATGTCAGTATTAATGCGTCCTCACTGCCTTTCCACGCCACCCCATCAGAACCCTCACTTACACCCCCACACACCAGAGGCCACATGGTGTACCCCATAGGCTCCATATGTGGGCTCCTATTTCGAACGAAGGGGGAGAAAGAAGGATGAGGAGAAGGGAGAAAGAGGAGGAGGAGAAGCAAAGAGCAGGGCATTGCGCTTACTGGAAAGACTGGAGCGCTGCCAGTCTGAGGCCCATGAATTGCTCCTGCTGAAGAACTCCAGAGCTTCCTCTATGGTGGCAACCAGGGCTGATGGATTCAGAGGCTAATTTCAGTCTAGCGACCAGCATCCATTTTGACTTCATTGACAGTACCTGAGCTTTCCACCTAGCATCACCCTATTCTTAGGACACTGGTCTCAGCCGATCATTCTAAGCACTTTTTATGCCTTGTCTTATGGAACGAAAGAGCTTAAACTTAGGTCCCTAAGTGGCCCCCATCCACTGACAAATTCACATCTTGTCCTGGGTGGGCCAAGAAAAGAGACTCATTTCAAACAGATGACTCCTTAATGGGTTGGAAAAGAGTTGAGGTGTTAAAAAAATAAAATTTAAATAAAAGAAAGAGAAAAGATTGGCTTCTGCAAAGCCTCCTTTGACCAAGATGTCTTCCCTGTTCGCATGCCTGCCTTAGAACATAAGCCTATCTCATTCTAACAATCACATTAATAGCTTCCTGTCCTCTTGTCCCCGGTGTTTGCACAGAACTCCAAGGAGAATTTAATAGAAGTAGAACAGAAGAGAAAAATATGGATCTATTATTTATAATTTACTGTCGCCTGAAATTTCATCCAAGGTCTACTTGTCTTTTGGAGACACGAATATAAATGAGAAAACAAAGACTCCCACAGAGCAACAGAGACTGGGCGACGTGATCTCCTGAGAGGAGTTCTCATTGTCTCTTTTAATCCTATAAGCGGCAAACAAGGCGCTCGCTGAAGCTGTCCTCACAGGCAGTGAACACTATAAAATAGGCTGTCTTAACCTGAAGGTTAAGCGGAGACAGTCATTTGTGGAGGTTCCCAGAGATGGGGAATGAGAAGTTTTCTTTATTGCCTTTGCTCCGTGCCTTCGCAGGAGGCACGAACCCACATCCAGGCTGAGCTGATCTCTGGGGCTTTTTAGGGAAACTCAGAGAGTCTATTCTAACACAAGCTTCCGTTTGGGAAGTTGTGAAAATTAGTGAAGACTGGCCAACCCTGGGTTCTGGGACAGCAGATGGTGGGCCATGCAAATCCGCAGAGTTATCAGTTAATAGTACCACTGAGGTTGTCTGTTTCATCTTGGGTGACTCTCAGTAGGTGGTGATTTTCAAGGAATTGGTCCACGTCCCTGAATTTACTTAGAGTTGTCTATACTACTCAGTTGGTCCCTCTATAGGGAGAGCCGTGGATGTGGTCAAGCAGTAATGCCACCTGCCATAGGGCCTTGAATGTCACTATATACAAAATTTGATCTGGCCCATTTTTAGCCATGCTGTCCCAAATGTCCTCAGAAAAGCTAATGTCCATTTCCCTTTTCATAATCATAGGAAGGAAAATAGGGTCCACATGGTATCTTACATTTAACAAATATTGAATGAACCTTCACAGTGGGTTACACACTATACTAAACGTTTCAAGGGCATGAGGCAGTGGGGAACAGACAAAAGGAGGAAATGGGGTAATTTCAAGTACAGTAGGGCCTTGACTTACGAGTGTCCCGACTAACGAGTTTTTTAAGATACCAGCTGTCTCTCGGCCAATTTTTTGCATTGAGTTGATGGAGTAATTTGACTTAACGAGCTCCTTAATGAGCTCAGTCTCGGAATGAATTAAACTCGTAAGTGAAGGCCCCACTGTAGTGGTGAGACCATAAAAAACAGAGTAATGGACTAGGGACCGATGTGAAGAGCTAATTTCCAGGACGGCTCCTGCACTAGAAAGGCTTTCCTGATGGCACGTGAGAGACAGAGATCACATTATACTACAGAAAGGTCACTCTGGTTCAATATGAAAATGGATGCAAGTAGGGCCAGAAAGGCAGGAAGAGACCAGGGAAGTGGCATTACCATGACCCAACCCTCCCTTTGCCATGCTGAAGCAAGAGACACAGACACCAGGCTGGCAGCTGCCAGTCTATGATCAACTAATCTGCCATGGCAGTGGGTCTCCTGATATAAGTGAGTCCCAGGAATAGTAAGGCAGATTATTTCAGAACGTTTCTCTACTGTTAGGGTGCCTTTAGCTGGTCTTCAAAGGGGAGACTTAGAAGACTGATGGGTAGAAAGTGGATGGTCTGCAAAGCTTGAGGCCCTTCCTCAGCGACTCTGTGTACAAGGAAGACATCCAAGCTGGCTGTGACTCAGTTGATTCTCTGTTCCCATCACCTCCTCAAAGTCTATTGCCAACTCTCCTCTTGGATTCCCACTACTATCTCCTAAACGAGTCTTACCTCCAGTCTCACCCCCATCTCATTCACAATGAGAACAAGCTTTCTAAAAACTTGAGCTTAAAGTCCATTGCTGGACTCTTCAGCCTGTTGCCTTCAGGAGAAGGTTCAACTCTTTAAGTGGCATAATCCAGTCCCCACTTACCTCCCCAAGGCTCTCCCTCACCCATCTAACCCCGCCCTTGCTCTGTCTCCTGGCTGACCCTGCAGTTCCCCAATATAGGCTATGCACTTTCATTGGCCGGAAACACCCTTCCCCAACAATTTGTGGCTTACTTCTATATCAATCAGTTCCTAAACTAAGAAGCCCTTTCTGATTAGAACCTGCCAATCCCTACACCGTTCCAGGCCCCACCGCTCACCTTACCCCCACCAGCCCCAGACTTCATGGCATGCTCACTCCTGAGTTTTGATGGCTCCCTGTGTTTATCTCTTTCCAGAGCACATAGAATTTGGATTATGTTTGTATGTTTCTCCCACCAGAGTGTGAGCAACCTGAAAGATGGGACTATATATTTTTCTCTTTATATTTCCATTTATTTCTTAGCCCACTATTTAGAACCCAACAGACACTTCCTATATGGTTTTTTTTGAACAAATGCATAAAAGAATAAACAGGTAAATGAGTTAGAAGATGCTCTCAAGGTGGCTAAGGTGGTAGGTTTGACGGCCTGTGTGGGCTGACCAGGTAACTTAGCTCTTTCCACAAACCTGACAACCACAAACACACTTCTGGGGAAAAGACACCTACTAGTAAGTTCCGGTGGCCAGAGGCGGTCCCTGCGCTGCTGTGGAGCCACACACCCTGCTCTGCTGGGTCTATTCTCAGAGAGAATTGCCGACATCTCGCTTTAGTCCTGATGCTACGGCCGTAAGGACAGGCAGTGGACAGACACTCTCCAAAGCCACTAACTCAGACCACTTTAGAGACTGTATCCAGGAACCCCTTACACGGAAGGGACAGGGCAGGAACCGGAAAGGTCTCTTCCTTTACTCCCAGCCACTGGAGCTGTCTGATTGCTCTGTGCATCACGTAGCTCACTTCACTCCACTCGCAGCCAGCCTTCCGATGCCCAACACAAACCAATTTCTGAGCAATTCTTCCGGTAAGTGCTTGTCCTATCGATCTCACAATTACATCTAGAAACACTTAACTATGAGCCATTTCAGTGTCCCGATCACTTGGCATTGCGTTCCTCTTAACTTGGCAATCAACACAGCCTGTGCCTTAAAGACAGACAAAGCCTCTCTGTCAGCGGGCCCAGGGATTGCACCAAAGGGAAGGAAGCCTCCGGTGCTGCTCTGGGTCCTGAAATGTCTGCCTTGAGAAAAACTACTGGATGATCTGTGTGAGGGTAAAGGTGTGTTTCTGCTGAGGGTAGATGGTAGGACATCGGGAGTGTCCCGATGCATGAAATCTGTCCCGACAATTCCCTGAGAGTGTCTGAATCACAGCACACATGCAGTGAACGCAACGGAACAGTAATCAGTCTGGTCTTCATTATTAGCTAGGCGGAAGTCCAGTAACCCCAAAGCGCTCCTAATGGTAACAACTGGAACCAAGGCTTATACTCAAGGACAAATAGACTCTCTTCCCCACCCCCACCCTCAATCTAAATCTTGGGACCTGCCCACTCAAGACACACCTATGGGAGAGAGGGAAGGAAATGGAGAAAAGGAAATCAGCAGAGGGACAGAGAGACTCTAAGTCTATCCAGGCAGCTATATGGATCTAGGCAGAGAAAGCCGACCACTGGGCCCCTTGGGGACACAGTCCAGCTGGCAATTCCACTGCTTGGCCTCTCAGAGAAGAGGAGAATGTACCAGAGGAAGAGTGGGGTTCCCAACCCGCTGGGCACCAGACTCCTCTGTAAAATCAATGATCTGCCTTCCTCTCAAGTTTCTTGCAAGAACTAAGTGAAAATGAAAACTCACTTGGCAAAGCACAGGTTCTGTAGAAACCCGCTGTCATTCCCTGAAGTAGGTGGGCGCCTTTGTTCCAAACTGCCTGCAAAGGAAGCCACCCTTGTCCCAGGTGTGGCCGAGCGAAGGGCAGTCCTGTGCTGGGGGTTAACTCATCTCCAGAGGGGCCTCCTGTAAAGTCTATGGAACCCCAACAACCTCTCCCCAACGCAGGATGCTTCCCTAATGGTCCATGACAGGTGTCTCAGATGACCTGGGCCTTCAACGAGGGTGTATGTCTCCTTCCTTGTGTGGCATGAGGCTGTCACTTGCTCTGACCCTCCAGCTGTCTTTCCAAGTGGGCTGGGGTCACACCCTGCAGTGCACAGGCACTGCCACCAGGGGGTGCTGTGGTGACTGGCCCTTGAGGTCCTTACCCAGCCCCTTCAAGACTGCTACACAGTTCAAGGCTGCAGGATCACCTCTACTGCACCTTACGCTTCCTGGGCCCCACGTCACTGCCCCTCACTCTCGAGCTTGGCCTTTCACGTGCTCTCTCAGCTCCTGCAGTCCGGAGAGCCCTCCACTGGTCTCTCCTCCTCAGCTTGCCTGCTAAGCACTAAAATGTGCCCTGAAGCTAAGCTCTTCAAGACACATGATTTAAGCTTCTCTTTCAGCTAATTAGACATTGTTCTACAAATTGGGCTGCTCTTTCTGAAATATGAGAGGCCGTGTATTCCCCCTGCCGTCTTTGTAAGCTTACACTAAACTGTAGAGCACAGCCACTGGGTCGAGTCCAATGGGGAGATGATTCTGCACGAGGAATAGATGCCCGTCTTCTTGCTAACACTGAGCTTGTCTGGGAGCTCCTGAGTGTCTGCTGTGAGGGTGGCAGGAGGCTTTGTCTATCAGCGGTCACCAACCGGTGGTCCACGGACCATTAGTGGTCCCTGAGGTCCAAAAGGTTGGCGACTGCTGGCTTAGATGCCTCTCATCCTGTGACAGGAGGCCTTCCAGGGATGCATCGTGGCCTGTGCACCTGTAACCATCACCTGAGTAACCACTCACCTCTTCACCTTTGCGGGGAGGGGTATTTTTATTATCCCCATTTCACTGACAAGAAAACTGATACCCAGGAAAGTCAGGCCATTTGCTTAAGCTAAACAACAGGTAAGTGGAGGAGCCAGACCGTGAGCCCAGCTCTCTGGTCTGCTGTCTGCTCCATCAATTAGGCGGGATACAGGGTGAGGCAGGGTTCCCAGACTGGGCGAGGCCAGAGTGGATGTCCCACGGCTCTTGATGAGGTCCCACAGACCCTCTGAACACTTCTCCGATTTGATCAAGGGGTTCGCGCAGAGGGGGAGAAAGGATGCTTTCTGGAGGTCGCCTCTTTTCCTGTGCAGGGGGCCGGGTGTTCCCTCACCCTCAAGACTGTGCCCAGCACCTGATGAATGGCGACACTCTGAGTGGGGTCTACACCATCTTCCTCCACGGAGAGCCCAGCCAGAAGCTCCAGGTGTACTGCGACATGACCACGGACGGGGGCGGCTGGATTGTAAGTACGCATGCTGTTCTCCACGTGTGCAGACAGCCCGGGGTCCTCATCCACCGGCGCAGCGCCCACCGACCCACACCTCACAGCCTCTGCCCGTCCCTTCAGTTACTCCCCTCCTGTCCCTCTTGGAGGCTCTTCACTGTCCTCGGGGCCCTTTCTCAGCAGCCCAGTCCTAGGCTTGGCCCGGCCGAGAGAGGAACAGCAGTTGAGGCTGCAGTGGCCTGGCCCAGGGAGGGGTTGCTTCTGCAATGGCAGTGCAGGCAGGGGTGCCAGGGCAGGACCAGCAGCTCAGACAGGCCTGGGTCCTAACCGCTGGGGTCTGCGGCTGCCAGAGGAGTAGCAGAGGTGAGCCTCTGGGGGGAGCTCATTAGGACCTTTCTGTGGGACAGCTGCGTATGAGGGAGCAGAGGAGGGCAGGGCACGGACAGCCACCTCCGGTTACCAAGGCCACCGTGTCCCCATCCTTCCTTGGACTCCCCGGTTCGTCTCCAGAACTGTCCCAGCCTTCAGGGGGCACCATGATTAGGAAAAGAGACACCATTTCCTGTGACCACCCTCCTCCACGTCTGATAGTTCAGGACAGAGAGAAGGGAAGGGTGGCTTCACTAACGTCCCTGCCCATCATGCAGCCCCACTGCAGATGGGAGGGTTCCCGCATTCCTGCAGCCCAGCCTGCAGCAGCCTGGCCCGCAGTAGCCGGCGCTAGCTGGGTGGGTGCGCATGGAAAGGAGTATTTAAATGGAGTGAAATGGGGACTGTGCTCATAATAGCTACACTTGGGAGACATTTCCTTTTCTCTTCTGACATATCTGTGCGTCTTTCGTAAAGCATAGTTGGGCGTTGAAGCCGAGGCTGATGGATTGGAGGTTAGATGAAATGAGCACTTAAACAGCTCGCAAAGTGAATGCTATGCAGTTCCTTGCCTGCGATGGGATGACGACAGTCACTGCTGATGTGGAGTTGGGCCTGTTCTTCCGGAGAGAAATGCTCTCTGCTGCACGGCCTGGTGCGAAGGACGGACCTGAGAGCCACCCACTCCCCTGTTTGGGGGCTCGCTGTGTCCGAGTCCTTTCTACATTGCTGGGTGCAGATTAGTGTCAACATCACAGCCGACCTCTCCATCGGGGCCTCTGCCCTTGGAGAAGGCGCTGCGCATCTTCCAGGGAACGGACGGCCGTGCAAACACCAGCCCTGCCCGCAGTGCCCCTTGTCCCGCTCGTCCTCGCAGATGGAAAACTCGCTTCCAACAACTTTCCTCCGGCCAGCTTCCGCCCCCCCTCTCTTCCCAGGTGTTCCAGAGGCGGCAGAATGGCCAGACCGACTTTTTCCGGAAGTGGGCGGAGTACCGCGCTGGCTTCGGGAACCTGGAGGACGAGTTTTGGCTGGGTAACGCCCGCTCTGCTTTCCGTGGGAGCTGCTCTGGCTCTGGGTCCAGCACTCCTTCTGGGCCCATCGGGGGTTATCAGCACCCCCGGGTCTGTTGAGAAGTTGACAGCTCGTGAATTGCTTTCAGTTCCTCTGGCTCTGTTTGGCTGCACTATTGATCTGTTTTTATCTCATTGTGGCGTTTGCCTCTCTGCCCCGTCTCTTCCCATCCTCATTAATAGTCTCTTATGCTGATGGGTCTTGACAGGAAGCAACTACAAAGCGCGGATGGGCCTGGTGTGCGAGGGGGCATGAGGGCCACGGGGCGGAGGGTCACCTTACGAGCAGCCAGCCAGCCTGCAGGCAAGAGAGAACGAGGCAGGCGCCACACAGGCTCAGTTCTCTGGGGGAATGTTACTCCCTGCCTGGGCCAGCGAGGGAGGGAAGTGAGAATGGCAGAGAGGTGGCCGGCAGTGTGCCCGAGTTCTGACAGGAGCGGAGGTGTAGATTGAGAACTGAGCAGGTGTGAGGAGGGAAGCACACCCCTGGCCCAGGCAGACGGCGGGACACCCTGATGACCTGCCTCTCCCTCTTGCTGCGATGTTCAGCCACTGGTCCAGGGAGGCGGGGAGAGGAGATAAGCGTGTTCCGAACTGGTGGCCTCTGACACCTCCGTCACTATCTCATCCGGGCCTCACTTGCTTTCCCCCTTACTGGCCTCCCTGCCTCCAGGACCACTCAGCATCCACAGGGCCACTAGGATGAGCTTCCTCACACCCAAAACCTGTCCAGCGGCCAACCCCCTGTGTAAGCCGTCTCCACGACTCCGCCCCACTGCCAAGTGAAAGCCAAGCCCCTGACCCCTGGCCCGGCCTCTCTCCTCTGCCCTGGAGCCTGCGCCCACCCTGAGCACCTCTCTCCTCCCCACACGGCCCTACCCCCACCAACTGTGAACACTCGGAATCACTGATGATGCTTCCTCTGCAAGGAGCTGTCCCTCCCTGCACACCATGGTGTCCATCCACGTCCATTCAAAGATCAGAAATCCATGCCAGGAAAACAACACTCATCCTATATAATAAAATCCTAATATGCAAATCTACCGAACGGTGGAACAACTGGTCGCTGTGACACGCACTGACCACCAGGGGGCAGACGCTCAACACAGGAGCTGCCCCCTGGTGGTCAGTGTGCTCCCACAGAAGCTGGGCTCATGGCTGGAGAGCGCAGCAGCGGTGGCGGGAGCCTCTCCCACCTCTGCAGCAGCGCTAAGGACCCCTCAGGGGATGTCCGACTTTAAGCCCGCAGGTGGACATCTCCTAGGGGACCTGGACTGTGAGAGGGCGCAGGCCAGGCTGAGGGGAACCCCCCCCTCCAGTACACAAATATTGTGCACCGGGCCTCTAGTGTTATTAAATGACCGTTAAACCCAGTGCTCAGCCTGTGGCTGCTGCTGGTAGTGACAGTGAGATTAGAAGTGTTGGGTGTTAAACCACAGAAGTACTAGCACCAAACGAGACTGCGAGTTAAGGTTAGAATCAGGCTTAAGGCTGCTCCTTAATCTGTTAAGGATAGGATTTGGAAATACCTCTCTCCCCGTACGTTCAAGGTTATGCAGTCCTAAGGCCCCAGATATTTGTCCTCATCAGAGATGTCGTCCCACACTGGGAAACGCCATACTAACCTGTGAGCTCCTGGCAAAGAGGCCACAGATCCTCAGAGACACGGCGGTAGGGGGCGGGGGCGGTGAAGGGGGGGAGAGGGGACATGTCCTGACACCCTCCCATCTCCTAGCAGCCTGTGACCACTGTTTCAGCCTCACGGGGAGGCAGCGAGGGGTGCGCAGGAGGGAAGGGGACCAGAGGAGAGGGAAGACAGGGATCCTTCTGGTGCGGCAAATGGGCCAGGGAAGAAGCCAGAGGAAAGGCGCGGGCAGGCGAAGGAGAAAGGAGGCCAGGTGGGTTGAATGAAGTGAATGAAGGCCGTGTAGTATCTAAAGTGGGGAGGCGACCTCTGGACTTAAGGATGTGGGTAACAGGGAGCCAGGGAGGGCTCCTGAACAGAGGCCTGGCCGGGGGATGCGTTGTATGGCCGCAAGACTCAGGTTGGGGTGACACTGTAACCCCTGGTTTATGTCCTAAGTTGGGTCCCCTAGCAGCAGAGCCTGAGACAGGGATTCTTATTCGAGGGGTATAGCTGGGGGTGCTCTCATGAGAGGGGGGCACAGGGTAAGCAGGATAAAGCTGGGGAAAGTGCGAACGTGTGCCTTGGTTGGGGACTAGCTTCAGTCTGATCCTTAGGGAAGCTCTGAGCATAAACTCCTCAGGGTTGGGGTGAGAGGGCCACCACCACATCAGGCACTGATGGAGGTCACCCTGTGGCGTGGGGGTGGAGGGTGAAGCTTCTGGGTGCAGTCTCTCCCATTCAGGTGATTATCCAAGAGGGAGGCAGCTATGAGTTATGTGGAGGCTGGGAGAGGAGGGGTGTGGAATGAATGGTAGACTGACCCCTCGCCGGCTGCTGGGAGGTGGGAGGATGTTGGGATATCCTGGGCCCAGGGTCCGCCCTCAACTCCTGTGACCACTGTTTCTACCTCTTGCCCCCTATCACTCATGCCAGAGCCTCAGGCCCCTGTGGTGCTCCTGCCACTGTCAGCCACACCAGGTTGGAGTGAGAGGCGCAGGGGCAGGGCCGGGATGCTGAGGCTCCGGGCTCCTCAGACACCAGGTCAGACCAGATGTCAGGCCCGGAGCTGACCGGTGCTGGGACTCCTCCGCAGACCTGGCTGGGCCTTCGCAGGGGCCGAGTCGGAGTCCGGGAGGGTCTGTCTGAGGGTCGGAGTCCCCCATACCCCTCCTCCTCCCGGGACGTATTTTAGAGGCCACGGTCCCATTTCCCAAGCTGCTGTGCCAGGCTCCTGCATCCTCTGCTCGTCTCCGCAGGGCTGGACAACATACACAGGATCACGTCCCAGGGCCGCTACGAGCTGCGCGTGGACATGCGCGACGGCCAGGAGGCCGCCTTCGCCCACTATGACAAGTTCTCAGTCGAGGACAGCAGGAGCCTGTACAAGCTCCGCGTAGGCGGCTACAACGGCACTGCAGGTACCTGAGCCCCCAGCAGATCAGGGCCCCCCGCTCCAAGCCTGAGCTGCCCTGGGATTCCCTGCCGGCCGGTGAGCTGGGCACGGGCTGTGAATCACTGGCCCCGGCCCAGCTGCCCCTCACCACCCGGCGGCCTGAAATCAGTTTCCTTGTCTGGAGCATGATCATAGGGATCCCTGCCTACTACACAGCAGCCAGGAACAGGCAGTACAGGCCGGGAACGTGCTTTTAAGGTTTAAACACCGAAGTTCAGTGGGAGGGCCAAGGACGATTCTTCTTGTCTGGATCATTCAATATGGGCTCCTACCCAGAGAGCAGAACCCCGTGCTGTCTGGGCAGAAACCTCCCCTCAGTGACACGAGGAAACCACCGTGAACTGAGGAAACTAACCAGATCCTGCGTATTCTGAGATGCCCCCCCCCACACACACACACACAGAAGTCGCCATCACAGCCATCAAGGAGCAAGCCACAGCACTAATGGTGTCCACATTCCACTCATCCGTCCACAAGAACCACGTACATCACCACGTCTTCTGTGAAGACGCTGACAACATTTACACTCAGAAGAATACCCATGGCCTTAATGGTTTCATCAGAACCGAATGCTGGGCCGGTCCTGAGGCGCAGCCTGTCTGTTCCCTGGGGTCTACTCCATAAAGCCTGTGTTTGCCAAATGTTCTATTGTTTGGTGCAGGGAGTGATGGGCCCTTGCATTTACTCGGATTTTAGGGCTAAGGGCCAGTGTATAATTCTAGCAGCATTTTTATGCCTCTTGGCACTGAGAGGACCATCGAGGTATTGCCCTTCCAATTCCGGACTCTGTCCAATTATTGCTCTCTCAAGCCAAGTATGTTACTCCAAAGAGAAGGCACGCTTCCCTCTGTTACGCTTCAAATTTCAGAGCCTTCCCCGTGGCCACGAGCCCTGCCCAATGCCCCACAGAAGGTCCAATCACCACGCTTCAGGCATAGCATAGCCATTGAAGTGCACTCCAGTGAACAAAGTATCAGACTGACTCATTCACAGATAAGGAGGCTGCATGGCGGTGACCAGATTGTCCCGTGTTACCAGGCTCATCACTGTCCCCCCGGAAACAGAGGGAGTTGTGCACGTCTGTCCCATGCGGGCCTGGAGGAAACAGAGGTTGGGGGTGCTGCGTGGACAGGGTTCTGAGCAGGGTGGGGAAGGAGGAAATGAGCCGGAGCGAGCAGCGTGGAAGCAGCCACCCCAGGGGAGGGGAGGACGTTCAGTTCAGCCAGACTGACCCACAGGTGGAAGGAAAAGGGGGGCTCAGTGGAAGGTCCTGTAAGTGGAAGCCGGTTGATTGGGAGCAGGTCAAACGTCCAGAAAATCCTGACGGAGGAGGGACGAACTGAACGGCCTCCCGCGTGTTCCTTTTCCCCAGGGGACTCCCTCAGCTACCACCAGGGACGCCCTTTCTCCACTGCGGACAGAGACAACGACATCGCCGTTACCAACTGCGCCCTGTCGTACAAGGGGGCGTGGTGGTATAAGAACTGCCACCGGACCAACCTCAACGGGAAGTACGGGGAGTCCAGGCACAGCCAGGTGGGTGGAGTCTGCCGCTGGGATGAGCCGGAGCTGAGGGGTCCCTTGGCGTGTGTGTTCATTGCACAGGCGGGTCTTACTCAGGGTCTCGGGGAAGGAGTATCGTGAAGAGGAAGGTAATGCAGACGCTGGGGCGGGCAGGACAGGATAGAAGCAGAAGGAGAGGAAGCAGCCTACGAAGTGTCCCAGGAACAGAGAATGAGAAATACCGGTGTTAACTGGCCCGTCTATCCCCGTTAGAGACCACATGCCCGTGGGCCGAGCAGGGTGACGGGTGACCCGCTGGGACGTGCCCAGAATTAGCCCTGGAAGCCAGCAGCCAGGGAACCCCGTGGCCCCGGCAAACCCAGGGATGGTCCCCGTCGGCGGAAACCACCTGGCCTCCCACCAGGAGTGAGCAGGCACTTGGCGACCCTCCAGAATGCGTCTGTGCTGTGGGGACTTTGCACACAAACCCTGAAGGCCAAACACAGAGCTGGCCACGGGGAGCAGCCCGGCCACAGCCCGTTTTCCAGGGAAAAGGCTGGAGAGAGGCTGTGCTTTGGCCTCATCTCGGGGGATCTGACATGCTGTCTTTCTCCTTCCCAGGGCATCAACTGGTACCACTGGAAAGGCCACGAGTTCTCCATCCCCTTCGTGGAAATGAAGACGCGCCCCTACAACCACCGGCCCCTGGCCGGGAGGAAGCGGCGGTCCTTGCACTTCTGAGCCGTGGGCGGCCGCCGGCCACCTGACCTTTCTGTCATTTGTTTGTATTTTATAAACCAAGCAAGGGGTGGGGGTCACAGCACTGCGCATTGCAACGTGTCCTGAGTGTTGGAAGGAAGCAGGGAGTAGCAGGAGTCGGTTGAGAATTAGCCTAAGGTTTCTGCTGCCCTCGGGCCTGACCCTAATCCATTCTCCCTCCTCCCCAGCCACCTTAGCCAGCCCCTTTTCCCACCCAGGAGAAGGGAGATGTTTCCCTAAAAGACCAAATCAAAGGCAGTGGTGGAGTCAGGTTGCTATGGTGACGGGCACGCGCCTTTGCCCCTTGCCCTCCCTCAGAGATGCCCTCCCCTTCCCGGCATGTGTCCCTGGTCACTGCCTCCACGGAAGAAGCCTCCACGAGAGAGTTTGCGAACAACGCCCCTAAGAGGCAGCTCGACCTTGCCATCCGCCAGCCCAAGCCTCTTTCACAGGCCAGAGGTTCTCACCTGACCCTTCCGCCGAGCGGCCCTGTGATCTCTCAAGAGTAGTGACCTCCCTTCCAGCCCCCACGGAGCCTGTGCCTGCCCCTTTCCCCTTTCCTGAGGCCCCGTGACCCCACAAGCCCAGCCGCTGCTTCCGACGATAGTTCCCAAGGTGCTCGGTGCCCTTGGCTGGCCCGGAGCTGCTCATGGCTGTGTCCCTGTGGGTCTCTGTGGGAGGGGGAGAGGGAGAGAGTGGCGGGGTTTAGCACTTTGGGGTCCAGCCTGGAGGAAAGGGAGGAGGAGAATTCAGGGCCCCTGTCACTGAGATTCGAGGTCCCATGTGGAACATAGGTCTTTATTTCTGGTCCTCTGTGTCACAAAGTTTTTTTCTGAGTTGCAAACTGATTGCTCTCCTTAGCCAGGCTCTCCTTTGTGTGGGAGGCTTAATAAGAGTCAGAGAAGACATTATATGACCAGCCAGCCATTTTTTGGTATTCCCTGGAGGAGGTGGGGTTTGAGGGTTTTGTTCTTGTTCCCCCCCCCCCTTTATTTTTTGTCCCATAGAAACAGGAATGGCCTCCTTAATGAGGTGAGCTCCTGAGAAGGCTTCTCCACCTTCTTTTATTTCTCTGCCTTTGAGAGGAGAAATGAAATGACATCTAGAAATCCAAGGTGAACAGGGTGAGCTGTGGGCCACCTCCCCTCTGATGAGATGTTCTCTCTCCACTGGCTAGTCTGTGATTTGATTTTTAAGCCCGAGAGAGCTGGAGGCTCTAGAAGCCAGGACCCTTCAGCTTCTCCAAATCAAACATTAGCTGCCATCGTCCCCACGGCGCCGGCCAAACCCAGGCTGTTTCCCCAGCTGCCCTCCCCCGTCCTCTCCTCCTCCTCAAGGCCTCAATTCCACTCTATAGTGTCCATCTGGGGCATCCGGTACCTGTTCCACCTGCAGTCTAGCCAAGCTCTGATAACCAGGAGGCCATCCCTCGGGCTGACGACCATACTTGTGGTCACTTGCTGTGCACACTGTCCCTTTAGCAGGCCGCCAAGGCCTTGTCACGGCTGTGGTGCGGATGTGACTGATATGCCCGGGACCGGAAAACGGAGGTGGCATTTCCATTTCTCAGTTCATTGTGGGCCTCAGAAAAACGAGAAGCAGGGAAACGCAAGCAAGCCTTTCTAGAAACCTGTAAGTTAAATAAGACTTCGTGGAGTGGGCCACCAGTGAACAGCGGGGAGCACGCTGAATGAGCTGAGCGACAGGCCGTTCTGCTGGCCCTGTGACATCCAGGAGGGCGCTGCACCTCTCTGGGCCTCCATCTCCTCACCTGTTACATGGAAGATGAGGCCAGGATGGCTTCTAACAGTCATTGATGCCCATCTCTCATCTGAAAATCTGCATAGAAATTGGCATTGGGGAGGGAGCACAATCAAGCCATGAAAATGCACCAGAAACCCTGCTTTATTTAGGAAGGGAGGGGGGGAGGGAGGGAGGGAGGGAGGAAAGCAAGGATGGAGGGAGAAGTCATCAGTGAAACACACACACACACTTTGCAGGAAGGATTATGCCCCCATAGGAGGCTGCACTCATTTTGTCTGCGAAAGCAGAGCCCAGGGACCTGGGTGGCACCGATACTGCCCATCTCATGAAGGGACTGACACAGAGAAACGTTCAGGAAACGCTGCAGAAACCCAATCTGCCTTTTGTTGGAAGCGCCTCACCCTGTGGAGCACTTCTATAAATAGTCTCGCAGCACGGCCCTGATCCATGTGAAAGAATCCTAAAGCAAGGAAGGGACTTCAACAATTAGCTCACCCAGCCTTCAGTCCAAGGATTTATAGATTACTTTTATTAAGTAGAGTCATTTTGTCACGAACTTTTATCGTTTTTAAGGCCCATGGTCAACTTGACTCCGAGCTGCTACCGCCCTCCCTGACTCCTGCTAACCCTGCTCCCCCAAGCAGGTGCTCTTCCGGGGGTGGATACTGAGCAGCGCCCACAGAGCACCCGGCCTACACCAGCGCGTCCCTCCAGGGACAGGAAGGAGTGTGCACCCTGCCCAGGGGCAGTTTACCTGGAGACACCCAGGATGCGTACTCTCGCACGCACACACACACAACCCACCGATGACGGCTACAGACTCACTGCCTAGACCCGGGATCCAGACAGTTCCTCCTGTTCGCATTTCCCCATCAGAGAGAGATCATTTCCAGCTCAGTAAACTCACATTCTCCAGGGTTATTTCTGGAAGGTGAAGCAGGGAATGGGGAAGATGAATCTGTGGGAAACTCCTGCTGGTCTTTAGACCAGATTTAACTGGAGGAGGGAGCTTGCTAAGTGTCACCACCAGGGGGCGATCACAACCCCAGCCCCTCCTGTAACCCCCCTGTGAGTCACCTGGGGGTGAGGACAGCGAGTGCCTCCAGGTTACCAGGAGAACCCACACCAAAGAAAAACTGGCCAACAGATGAACAGATTTGTTAATAATAATAACAATAATAAGAAGAATAATGGCAGCAAAGAAATGCAGAGCAAACTTCCACAAACAGTTCAATGCCCCGGACCCTTCACAGCCCCACTATTCATGAAGACGTAAGACACCTCATACCTGCTCCTGGCATCCTGAGAACTGGCCTTCCCAAGACAGACCTGGAGAACCAAGGTTGCCAATGAACTCAATGCCAAACCAAACAATCCCAACCTCATGTAGACTTTATAAGCCAGTCCCAGGACAGAGCTGTAGATTCAAGGACAAAAGGTCATTCAGGGACCTTTTCAAAGAGCTCTTGTCAAAGCACTGGTGAGAAAGGGCTTAGAGTTCCTCTCTGTTCCCTCCTCTGGGGGAAACGGAACCTGTGAGAACAGCAGGTGCACAAAGCTGAGGGCGCTGACACCCACTAGCTGGTGGCCGGGAATTGCAAATACACCTGGGGCTTGAAAATATTTTTTTTTCTTTTTTTTTTTTTTAACCACCCAGGATTTCAGGAAAGGCGGAGCCCCTGGCTCAGGACATGTGCTTCTCTATGGCTTTTGTCTGATCAGCAGGCTCCCATCCAGTCCAGTTCCTTACTCCCATTTCTTTGCTCCAAAGGGCGCATTCGTCTTGCATCTCACTGTCTTCTCTCAAAACCCTTAAAGGAATCTCTGGGAGATGCCAACTTGAGTTCCATCCCCCTGATCTCATGGGACAATTTGTTTTCTCTTGCCTCAGACTTGCCAAAGCTGCGAGAGGGGCCTTGGCCCTCAGAGGCTGGGGCGCAACCTGAAGGTGGGAGTCTGCCTCGTGCCCACAGCTCCAGGTTCCGGGAGCTGCTGCCAGCTCTGCCTGGCCACCAAATAACAAAAAAAGAGAAGCTGGTGGATCGTTAGAGACTAAAAGCAAACCTTCTCCAGATGGACCCACAGTAAAAGTGCAGAGACCGGGCGTGAAGGGCCGGCATTAGTTCCCTGCTCTTTGTGCTCCTCCCCCCCTCCCCCCAGCACCCCTGTCTGCTCCCCACTTCACCTGAGAAGGTGGAGGTCCCAGGGGCCTGTCGCTGCACAGAAACTGACTCGCTCCACCCACCCTGCCTGGACCGCGCGTTCCTTCCCAAGCAGTCACAAGCCCGATCTGTCACCTCCAGCATTTCTGATTAATTTTTCGAGGTCACCCTTTGCCTGAAGCATGACTTCATTGCACCTGCAGCACTTCATTGGCCAAATGTCCTTGGCCAGCCTCTCAGTCTTTGGACAGTGTTGCCTTTTCTCCAAACCGGAAATCCTCCCTCCTTCTCCAAGCTTAATCGGGCACTTGCAGGACATCCAAATAGCACAGCTCTTGTTCCTCAGAAAAACTCTGCCCCCTCTGCTAACCAGTGAAACAGCTCCTCACTGTCGGCTGTGAGGCTGGGCTGATGCTGAGTTTCCAGGTCAGAAGCGTTTAACACTTTCCGTCTCCCCAGCGGCTCTCCCTGGGGGCCGGGAACCTCTAGGCCACGGAGAGGGTTGGGGTCCAGAGACCCCAACATGGCCAGGAGGCAGGTGCATGGATGAGAACTATTGGATTCTTCCCCTCAGTGGTTTCAGAGCCCCAGGGAGACCCTGGGCTGCTTCTGAACATCCTGACATTGAACACAAACATGCTCAACGCTGCCTCCAACAGGCCAATGCTGGGCAGACTCCCACCTTCAGGTTGCGCCCCAGCCTCTGAGGTCCAAGGCCCCTCTCGCAGCTTTGGCAAGTCTGAGGCAAGAGAAAACAAATTGTCCCATGAGATCAGGGGGATGGAACTCAAGTTGGCATCTCCCAGTCCCCTTCAGGCCTTGGAGGGGACTCCATATCTGACCCCTCTCTCATTTCACCCCCAGGCCCAGAAAGGTTAGGCGACTGGCTCACGGTTCACAGGGCTGGTTAGTAACAGAGCTGCGATCAGATTTGGCATAAACTTTTTCACTTCCTCTCCCCAAACGAAGGCTGAGAGAATCGGGATTCATGCACACCTGCTGTTTTCCAGATGGGGGGGTTAGTGGCTGGACATGTGTTACTTTGTTCAATCCTCCCCAAAACCCTGGATCGGGTTTCACCATTTTCCAGATGAGAGAATGGAGGCACAGACAGGTTAAGTAACTTGCCTGAGGTCACACAGGCAGGAGACTCACTCACTTGCTCACTGGTTTCCCTGTCCCTTGCCCTACCTGCCCCCTGCCCCCCCAGAGGGCACCAGACACCATGGTCAATGCGATCACATCAGCCCAGAAAGCGCTCGCTACGCACCCCACCCCACCCAGGTCCCCTCTGAGGCCTAGACTCACATCATGGTCCCACAGGCTCAAGGTTTGGAACCTGTGGGAGTTAGCACACATCGCCTCCTTCCTGTCAATCCCCCCCCCCACCCCCCCCAGTTACTCAAATACACTCTGGCCCAGAGGACTGCCAGGCGCCCTAAGAGAGCCCTGTGAGCATGGGGGGGATCAGGGCTCGGCCAGCTGAAACCCACCGGGAAGGTTTTCTGAGATGTCACCAACGCCAGGTCCTCCGTCCCTCCGAGTTTGCGTTTGCCATCTTAACCTTTCTTTTAACAGCCTTTTCAGGTAAAAATAACAAAGACCAACTTACTGACTTTGTAGCTACCACATGCTTGGAAAAGCGTTCACACGAAGGAAAGACCAGAAGGAAGAAGGAAAACACAGCGCTGCTCAGCGGCGAACGCGGCAACGAACTGAATCAGAAGGAAAGCGCAGGGGCAGGAAGGGAGCGGGGACGACGCCCAGCCTGTCCCGGCCCTGGCTCAGAGACTGGGGTCTCCGCTTGTTAACCATTGTGAACTAGTGCTTTTAGTCCTGGTAGCTTTTAGCCTCTGTATAGTTCCTTTTTTAAACACATTTTCTATACGTTAATAAAAGACCCGAAGGACGATGTCACCTTCCTAGTGCCGGGGGCCTGGGGGAAGGCCAGCTCAGTGGCTGGTCTGCCTCCTCGCTCAGACCCCCTCTACGCATCTGCCCGCCACTCTGCCAACCACCTCTGCCAACCGTCTTCCCTGGGTCACCCTTCCAGGCGCTGTTCCCATTCCTCTGTGCCCTGCCCCCCATCCGCGCCCCCCACCTTCCCAATCCTCTGCTCTCATATCCCCTGGGTCTCCTCCTCAGCACCCTCCCTTCCCCTCCTCCCTTCCTTCCCATCTCCCACTGGCTTTGAACTCTTCGTCTCCGTTTTTGCTTTCACCCTCAGGAAAGGTCAGGTGGGTGGCGCTTCTGCTGGTGCCCAGCATGACCCGCACTGTCTTGTCTGGGTTTTGAGCCCTTGATCAGCCACTGCGACTGCCTCAGGGTCCGGCTCCCTCAACCCTGGAGGTCCCGTGGCAGCCAGATCTCCAAGGTTCTAGTGCCACCTATGGGCCCTGGCGGAGAACACCCAACAGGCCCGCTGCCTCCCTCAGCTCCGGTCCCCAGGGCCAGGCCCACCCACCTCTCGGCCTTGGGTCACCTGGGAAACCATTTTCCCCTTTTCTCCCTTGAATATGGGCCCAGGGCACATTGTGACACCAACTGTAACCTCCCGGTCACATCAGGTAAGACCCAGCCAGGTAACAGCCCCAAGAGGAGGGCCTAAGGGCCACCTGCCTACCGCAGCTCCACAGGCCCCCGGGGCCACGTGCCGAGATGGCAGTCACCGGCGGCACCTGGGTGCCAGGGCTGGCCGTGCCCCTGCAGGGAGGGCGTGTGCGGAGACTCCCTGGGGCAGGCCAGCCGCTGAGTCTGGTGACAACGGGAATAATCCACAGGACAGGTGAGTGGGAACAGTGTGACTAGGAGTCCGAGGCAGAGGACCTACCTGTGGGAGCAGGTCCGGGACGGGGCCGTCTCCCTGGGGACCCGTGAGGGGCTCTAATGACAGCTCCCCACAGGCGGCCAGGGCCAGACTGAACATGGAGACTCCCCCAGCCAAGAGGGAGAGGCCTTTCTCCATGTCCCC